TTTGCCCCTTGGCATTGGCCCTTTATAAGAATGTGTGGGCGTTTGCTGCGAACTGTGCGCCTGCCAATTTGCTGCAGCTTTGGAGCTGTCGTCTGAGGAGTCTGATCATTCGCCTAGGTCGGTGACAATTGAGGTTACAACCCAGCTGGAGCCGATTTTGCTACTAGGATTCTCCAAACTCTACTTTAAACGGGCCCCCACAGATAAACAAGTTGACACTTGCAGCGTTTCGGTTGACGCACGGGACGGAGCGATGACGGAGTACTTGTCAGTGTTGGATGCCACGGAAACGGGCGATGGACGGAGTGTAGGGAGTGTCGTTGCTTCAGTCCAGAAGGAAGCTAGCTCTATATGCTGGGCTCAGTTCTTCACACCAGCCAGTTTCACAGAGGACTATGCTTTTACGTAAGATTAACATATTCCGCATCGACAAAAGGCTTTTGGCGAGTGCTTGCTCGCCGCGCGCCACTTATCTGAGCGAGCTGACTGGACTTTTAGAGTACCTTAAACTTAGAGGAGGTACATTTAAGCCATACATTCTGAAAGCTGCACCTTGCTTGTTTCCGCCTCAGCACCTATCTCGGAAGGCTCCCGGGACTTGAAGTACCCTCTTCTGATATTGAAGCAACATGCAGCGTCGACTCATCTGCCACCTGCACGGGGACAGGCGCGTTGCAGTTAAACTCAGCTTTAGATGCAAAGGGGCAACCGATGAAAACTGTGAGCCAGGCTTTCGCTGTGCCCTCCCCTTTGTGAATTTTATCATGACAGTTCGTAGCCTGCATCATGCTGTCCGCGCAAAAGTGTCTACCTCCTGGATCTCTGGGGTTTGCATCTGCTGCGTGTCTCAGCTTTTTTTGGTTCCCCCAAACATGACTGTGGCGGCGGTCCCCCAGGATGAATGTCCTTCGTCACCCGCGGAGGTCAACTTTAAGACTCCCACAGGCGAAGAGGGGTTTGTTTCGGAGGAAGTAGAAAGCAGCTTCACTGCGGACTCTGTGACGATTACACTGAGCCGGACTTCAACTCTTCTGGGGCAGCGTGGGTCGGCAGTCGTGTGCGTAGTGGACGACGATTGCACAGATCCTGATTCAAAGCCATGCGTGAAGAAGCTGGGAACTGCCAAGTGGATCGGGCCAACTGTGTCGTCCTCCACGGAGAATATTTGCGAACAACTGGAGGCTGGCCGCTGCCGAGTCACAATTCCAGGCTTCGCAATGACTTCCATAGATTACAGTGTACCCAGGCTGGCTCTTGCCAGTAGCTGCCAAGTGAGTTCCTATACGGCACCTGCACCTGCAGCCCTCAGGGTATGCTTAAGGATTCGGTTCCTCTGTTACTGNGAAGCAAGTAAGTCTGTCGCTGTGTCTGGCTGAAATATGCAGGATCCTGACTCGACCCCGTGGGTTGTAGCTGAAAACGAAGGCGTAGAGGAGGGAGCAGCAACTTTCCTAGTGCCTGCTGCGGCGGGCTGGGGACTCGAGCTGTGTTGGAATCCCAAGGGCGCTCCTGTGTCCGCTGCGGATGCGGACTCCGCTGAATTCAAAGCAAACTTTGAGTTCACAGCGTCCACTATCTCGTTTCTACCTTTACCCGTCGTGAGAGGTGAGGGCATTGCTAAGTTCCACCATGCAAAAAGAATAGGGACATAAATCGCAGTTCAAACAATTGTACACCTTAGTGTGCAGCTAAGGCAGATACATGCTTTGCCGAAACGAGACATTCTGAGGTACACCAGGCTTGCATGCTTCTCATTTAAAAGCTTTTGAGACTTCCTTCCGTTGTCTCAGAGCTCGAGGTCTCTAGGAATTCCCCATTTTCTGCAAGTGTGGTGGTTCGAGTGAGTGTTCTGCTGGATGAGGCAAGGGTCAAGGCGTTTGGCGGACGAATTCCAAAGCAAGGCTTGTGGTGCAGCATAAGCGCCGAGTCATTCACGGACGGTACCGCCTGCAGCAGCAGCAGCAAGCTCGTGAACTTGCGCCAGGCAGAAGCACCGAAATTCGAGAAAGTGCTGGTTCGCAGTCGCGAAGATGGTTCGTCTGTGGAAACAGGCACAGATGGCACAGAGGCCACGGTAGCCATTATGTCGTTCATTGTTCCGGCTGATGCACAGCCGAAAACCATCTGCTGGACTTCGGTTATTTTCGAAGGGAACTCCAGACCCGTCAAGAAAACCTGGTAGGGTGGTTGTAGACTTGTTGCTGGTTCCTTCCGCAGANCGGCCTTCCCAGCGACACGTTAAAACCTCTCCTCTTGCTGCTTATTCTATGCAGGACACCGCTTGTAAGCGTCTCTGGTCCTGTGGCTGCTCGCCTTGGAGGTTCCGTCTCAGACACTGCCCTCGACTTGGGTTTCGTCCCGTGCACGTCGAGCAACACTGACTCCGCTGCCTGCATCTTCAGCGTGACTGCTGGACCGGCGGAGGACCCTGCTATGTTTCCCCTCAACGAGGTCAGTGCGTAGGCAGAAGCCTGAGCACTTGTATTAGGAGTGAGGACACCCCCAGCCGTGTTTCCGTCCCATGTCCACCATTCATGAGTTTGCCTTTATGTATGCCGCACGCCCCACATGCATTTTTACTTTTCACAGTACGAATGTTTGCTGCCGGTGGTCTTGCTGCAGGCGTGGATCCTTCCAGAGCAAAGCAGTGTGGTTATGCTGCCTGGAGACGCTGAGTGCCCCGACGAAGACAGTGACGTTTTTGAAACTGCTGTGGAGCCGGAGGCCTCCCAGTCAGATTTCAGCTTACCGTTGAAGCTATCAGCTGAGCCTCTACCTGGTGAAGGGGTGGTGGACTATGTGACATACAAGTTTGACTCTGGGAGAGCTTGGCTTTCTGAGCACGGCTCCGCCACAATATGCTGGCGGGACGATGCCACTCTCAAGTGGACCAAAATCAGTCAAGCGCTTTGGGTTGGGCCTCTCTATGCGCATAAGCCCATAAGTGTATCCTGCTCCCACAATGGCGCTTGCCCACTTACTGTTGAAGGCAAAAATCTCACGAAGCTAGACCACTCTTTCAGCAGGGTGGCGATCCTGCAGAAGTGCGGAGCAGCAAAGGGACTTGGAACTGCGCAGCTTCGGTCCGCAAGGGTTGGGGCTTCAAGCTTCTTGATTCTGGGTTCTCACGTTTCTGGAAGCTTCTTGACAGAGGAAGACCTGGAGCCAGGTATAGCTCTAGTCGTCCTGCAGGGATTTGTGCAAACATTAGTCCCGTCGAACCATTTGATCTTTACAGTATGGAGAGTTACAGGAAGGATTAAGTGATTTCCTCTGTAGTTTCGAGTCTCGGGGGCATTCTGAGAAGTGGCAATTCATGTCGTTGTTCTATGATTGGCTGTTTGTTTGCAGTGCATTTCTGGGCACTCCCCAACAAAATCTTCCGCACGCGCTGCAAGCGGGGTACGGCTCTTGAGTTTGCGGAGGCCAAGTGGATAGATACGCGTGGGGTCTGCGGGGACGTGGATGTGACGGACTTGTTGAACGCTCAGTGCAGAGGCGAGAGGCTTTGCTCCTTCATGCCTGTGGCTCAAGGACCTTTCGAGTCAGCCAGAGGCGCCAGCGCTGCCATACAGGTCGCCGTACCGGACACTTGCGATGACACGAGCACAAGGAAGCTTTCGGGAACGTATCGCTGCATTGGTAGGTATCCCGCCCAAGCGTCCACCGGGAATATGGGTACCCAAGGGGTTTCATCGTTTGGGGGCCTCTCCGTACTTCTCAACGGGTAGAGCGTACCCGTAACCACGGCAACGCGCCGCTGTGCGCCCCGACACGTCACTTGCAGACGATGCATTGTTACCTCTTTCACTTGGTGAGGTGTCTGCTTTGTCTTTCGTGTCTCCATGATCAGATGTAAGAACTTCCTTAGCGGAAGAAGAACGCGGTTCAGTAGGCGAGCTGTTCGCGGGTCCGGTTATGGTGGAGCTGTCCACCAAAGTAAAAGCCAGGGACATTCCGTTGGAGCCTGCCGGGCTAGGACAAGTATATCCAGGACTAGGAGAAGCAGGACTTGGACCAGAACTAGAAATACCGCCACAACTACCGCCACAACTCGAGCCGGACCAGGGTGGAGGATCCGTAGGACCCGGAGGAGAAGAGTCAGAGAACACTGGCTCCAACGAAGATGGTTCCAACGAAAGCAATGCTGTATCCGATGAAAGCGTATCTTTCTGGGCCCCTCAGGGCGCACCAGGACTTTACGAGATTTGTTGGAACCCGCTTATCGCTCGTAACGATGATCCGTCTGCATATTCAGAGTTCCTAGGTATCCTCGAGGTCGTAGCTGCCATGTCAATCATTGGTGAGTGCTTTTGCCGGGTGATGAAGCTTTGAAATAGGCGGCAAACCTGGGCAGCGACGCGGAGGCGTCGCGTATGTCAGTATCCAGGAAGACCGCACCGGTCACAGGGGTGACATTGCCTACTGGCGGGGGTAGTGAGAGTTGCTGCAAAGGCCTCGTTCTGCGCCTGAGTGCGGGTGTGTGGCATTTCTGTAGATGAAGTGGTTGTATGCACGGGCGCGGAGCTTACCACTTGCACCCTTCAGGTGACCGTGGGTTCTGAAGAACGCATGGAGGACAACCGGTCGTTGGGCTTGCTGATCGAAGATCAAGACGGGATTGCTACTTGCGAGACCGTTACTGAGGAGCGGCTACGGGCTGCTGTCATCTTGCCCCACCAGTCGGCGTGGAGTGATGCGAGTTCTCTTACTGAGCTGACATATTCGACGGAGCTACCAATGGAAAGCAAGAAACTGTGCATTGTGGCTGTGAACACAGAGCTTGAAACCTTCGGCACACCGTAAGTTTAGCCCATTCTTTTGAACAGTGCTTTGCCAGTGCCGCAGTATTAAGAGCAGGAACGACTTCTATCTTCTTAGGAGCTATTGAGCTCCAAAGGCACCGACCCTACGTCGTAGAGGAAACAACTGCAGCTGGTGCAGCTGCTGTATAGGCAGCAGCTGCACAGTATATCGAAGGTGAGCTCCCTGTGTACGCCATTTTACTTTTCAGGCAGTACGTGGGCAACATTCCAGGACCGTCCGCTCCTGCGGAGCTTCCCAGTGGCCAGGAGATCTGTTTGAACGGTGACATCAACGACTGTGAAGTCACGGTTTCTGCCGAAAACGTCTCTAAGTATTATACTCTTGACAACCGTGCTGTTGAAGAAGACGATACGAGCCCTTCCTTCGATGCATTCGCCAACTTGGTGCGTCCTCCAATCCGCGCCCCTCAGCTTAGTGGGGCACGGCACATTGAACATGTAGCTTAAACCCGGATGGAGCTATCCATTGGTATTGGTAGCGTTGGTGGCAACCGTTGTAACAGTTGGGACGACGGTCTTTCGCTGTTGGACGGTAAACCCCTCGTCTTTGTTTGAATTGCTTGGTGCATACATATTCAGAAACCGTACCTCGAACCAGATTCAAGCATGTATGCGTTTCAAGGAGACGTTTCCTGCCCTGAGAGCGCGTCGGATGAAATGTATTTAAACGCAACCACAGTCCCCGCTGATGGTGTGGCGAAGTTGGTGTTAGGAGCCTCAGGAATCGATGGTCTAACATTTCGCTTGACGCCTGATCAGAAAGATTGGCTTATCTCCAGCAGTGGTGTCACCTTATGCTGGGCGCTGCCATCGTGCTCTGCAGACCGTCTGAAGCACGGATCCCGGCCCTGCACAAAGCGCGTTGGAAAACTTACATGGGCCGGTAAGCGCGGATATAGGTCTACGCGTTGATTCAAATATATTCCCCACTTGCGCATTAAGACTGACTTCCATCTTATGCTGCCTTTCGCAACGCAACGGCTGGTTTTGTTGGCCTACCGTCTTTTTGCAGTAGTTAATGGACTGACGCATATCGTTCCTAGGTATTTGAGCTCTAGTTGTTCTTCCTTGTGTTGGGACCATCTGGAATCTACAGTGCATATGGAGCTTCGTGAGCCACTCCTTTTTCGCTTCATATGTGCCTTTCCTGCGCCGCAGGCCCCGTTGTTGAGACGCCGTTGCCAGCCATCCGGTGTCGACTCGACCAGCCTTGTGTGTTTGTAGTAGTAGGGATGAAAATGGCGGCGATGAGTCACGAAATGAGTCGGTTGGCATTTGTGAAGTCTTGCGGGGTAAGTCAGCGCACATCGCCCCTACCTACACTAGTGAATGCTGAATGATTGAATGAATGCTGTGGCCAAGATCTTTAACCACCTGCTTCCTGTGCAACTTCAGAGCACAGAAGGACCCGGCATTGGCATCGTGATGGAGTTCCCCCAAGGATACAATCTCCCCAAGGGTAAGGTTTATCTGTCCATTGCCCTGTCAGACAGGTCCCCTTGCGAATGCAGGTGCTACCTCATACAACTGTTGCTCCTTAGGCCGGCTCAGGCGAGTGCGCAAGAGGCAAATTCAGCCTTGAGCAGTGGCTGTGGCGTTTGAGTCGTGTTTCAGGAAGGACAAGCCAGTCGAGTTTTGTAGAGCTTAAGGCAGGTCGAACGAGGAGAAGAAGCAGCCATGCGGCACGCAGGCAGAAGTTGCCTCGTTTGGAGGACGGGATCGTATCCTTCGTACAAGAGGATGATCAGGAACTTGTCTCAACCGGCAGCATGACTTTCATGTCACCGATGCCTGTCGACGACACGATGGCAGTATGTTGGAACCCCTTGCGGACCCCCACAAACCGGTTGGAAGACTTTACCTTCGAGATTGGAAAGGTTTACGGCTACGGTAAGCCTCAGGATGTGGCCCACATCGGGCATCTTGCTACTGAGCTGTGCTGTATGCCCTGCTTGCCAGCAGCACCGCAGAGGATTGTTTTCAGGATTTGACAGCTACCAGAACGAGTTACACTTTTTGCCTCACCTCTGTGCAGGCCTCGACGAAATAACCGCTTTCTGTGTGTCGGGTTCCGTTTGTGGTATCGACATCATTACAAAGGGATCCATACTGAATGATGTGGCTGTGAATATAAAGGCCTTCAAAGGCATCTGTGGGCATCAATTCGCCGTTGCGCAAGAGCTCCCGGACGAAGGTATGGCATGCAGTTGTGCATCTTATCACAGATGTGTGAATTGCTCCACCTCTAGTTCATTTCTGCTCCCGCCTACTACGCACTTCCCCGCGTTTTCGGCTTGTCGGGGGTGATGCCGCTTGGCCACTATCTCTGGCTGTGCTCAGGCAAATTTCATTTGATTAGCGGGAAAACTTACTCATTCTCCTCGCCAATCGGGGCCAAGGAGGCGGGACTTGAAACCTATGAATTGTGCTGGTGTGACGAACTTTCGCTGACTAAGTGCAGCTCGACCAGCTATGTCGAGCGCATCGGTTCTTTGGAGGTTCAGAGTGAGTCGGGAAGTTCCCTTAAGCTGTGTCTCTCCCCCCCTCTACCCCCGCCTAAACAGAGCCTGGAATTGCTGGCAATTAAGAAGAGGCAGGCCCACGACAAGCAGTAGCACGGCAGTTTTCAACGGCATGTCCTTCACGCGTTTTATGAATGTTTCTCAGCCATACCACAACTGCAAGTGATGTGCATAAAGGCGGCAAACTCCCAGTGCAAAATAACCCTTCCCGCGACCATGGAGAGAGATTCGCTTGTGTACATTTCTAAGCTCACGAGCGATTTGTCAACTACTTGTACTACCCCGATCTATGTACTAGAAACAAAACGCGGAGTTATCATCGACGACAAACTTGAAATTGTCGTTGATGTCAGCTCCTTGGAAGCCGCAGGCCTCCTTGGCATCTCCCTGGCGGTTTGTTGGACCCAGGACGCGGGTATATACACAAAGAACATCCCTGCATGGAGTAGTTCGTTCATCGGTAGAATGATATTCGTTGACCCTACGACAGGTGCAAATAAACTTTATGCTGGCTTGGTCCCCGTCATCCGCTTCGACGTCGTTGGCTTAGCCGGAGATGAAATGACGGAAGATGGTTTGCCGCTCTCTTTGCAGCAGCTCTATCTTCAGGACAACGGAACTTGCGGGTCTTCAGTATCAGATGTTATGGTTCCTCTAACTGTGCACTCAGTAGAGGAGATGAAAGGTACGACATCATATTTACACCCATATATGCACGAGGTTGGCAACTTGCAGCTCTGTTAGCTCACTAGGCGAACTAAAGCTGGCTTGTGATGATCTGCAGGAGGAACCCGCATTCAGATCACCTTTGGAGCGTCCAAGAAGCTTCAAATTGTTCTGGGGGATGACGCAACAAGCGTGCATGAGCTTTCTGTCTGCTGGTGCGACAACGATTCGAGTTGCGCCAATTCAAAAGACTTTGACTCGGAGATTCTAAAGGTGGCGTTCCTGTCTCCAGCCTCAGGGGTATCTCACGAATGCACTTACGACACCACCTGTCTCATGAGCATTAAGGATATCCCAATGACGGATTTCGCGTCGTTCATTCCTCAGATCCTTATCCGATCTGACTGCGCAGGTGAGTGAACACACGTCAACACATAGAATCCTGAAATAGCCAGTTTGGAATGTAGGCGGCATGCGAATGCTTACATGCTTGCAGCGAATGCTCATGATTTATGGCGTCAGTGAGCATTGCGATGTTCTGCAGATGACGCGATGGATGAGACACTTCCGAACGGTGGCGTGATGTCACTGAGATTGACCGCAGCAACGGATACTACCACTGAGTCAAGTTCCCCATATGAAGAACACATGTATGGATTTAGGTCTCTAGTGGATCGCAAGTTGGCTCTAGCTGGCATGCAGCAGGTGCAGAAAATGATATGCTACTGTACTGATTCAACACGATGTACACCGGATCGTCTTGTGAACATTGGAACGCTGACTATTAGCGGTGAGCTTTTTAGGTGGTATCTCTCAGCGTTCGCCTTTCAGCCAAGTTGCAGCTCAAGTGAGTATTCACCTATCGCATGTGAAGTTGATGTTTTCTTTCGTTGTTTGCGCAGACGTATGGAATACTGAGTTTCGGGTGCCTTTAGTACAGCGCATTGAGCTGCCGTTCACTGTCCACAGTCCACTGCAGCAGCAAGACAGTGAGCGGAAACTGTCTGTAACGCGAGGGGGCAACTCGCTCCCTTGCGAGTTGGAGGAACAAGGCAACGTCTGCACAGTTAGCTTTCAGGACTTTCCGGCGGACACCTTGTCATCTCCTGACCCAGCCACGCTCCAATATTACGATTCAAGCCTTCCTCAGGACACCGTCGATACTCGCCCCGTTCCGTACGTGGCGATAGCGTCTCTAATACCTGCAGGTGCGCTGTAATTTCCGTCATCTACGTGAACGTGAAAGGCATGGAGACGTATTCGCAGACTGAAGTCTAACTCAGCATCCTTATGGTCACCTCTGTGTGTTTGTAATACCATTAGGCCCGTGGAAGGCGGACTACTCGTTTGTATGTCTGGTCGGAGGTTCCTGCGAAATCACAATCGATGTTGTCAACTGGCAAACAGAAGACAAAGTAGCCATGCTGTCACATTGTGGACACGATGGAATGGGTGAAGTGGGCTTCAACCAGATTTCAGAGGGTGTCGATGGCAGTTCTACATCAGTTGTGTTCCGGTGGGTAGATCCTTTGGAACTGTCAGCGAGCCAAATGGAAAGCGGCCTCGAGCTGTGCTGGAAAGCAGTCGAAGAAGAAATATTTCCTCTGGATTCCATCAGTGACTACTCGACGAAGTTCGGTACTATTTCGATTGCAGGTAATAACCTCTCTTATCCTTGCCGAGTGTTGGCTTTTTCACTTATATGCTAGAAATGCTCCATTTCTGTGGTTTCTCAATAGCTACCTAAAGCTTACGTAAAGTGTGTACCATTTGCTTTTCAGGCGTCTTCCCCAACCAAGATGCATCTTGTTACGTCGGTCAGAAGTGTGCAGTGCAGGATATCAAGGCCCAGAACCTTTCGCCAGGGACGCATGTCGCAGTGCTGCACGGGGGTTGCGGCGGCGACGGAACTGAGTGGAAGGATGTTCCAAACGGAGGACTCATGGTGACGGATATTGTCAGCGCGAAGGAAATAACACTTTCTTTTCCGGAAAGGCTCCCAGGTTAGCACTTTTCTATGAATTTCTAGACAGAGCCTGCTGAGTGATTCTTTACAGCTTAGCAGAACGATCGACTACTTAAGCAATTTCCCCGATCTTTAGCTTAGAATCAATGGTACGATGTTGTGTGCTTCGCGCAGTCATGGGTGTCGGCTCGCTAGTAATGTGCGGCTGTAGTGAGCGCGAGTGCACTACTATGCAAGACTATGGTTGGCGCATTGGGGAGTTGTCGTTTAAAGGGCCAGTTTCCCACGCAGCCCCTCTGGAGGTGTTTGCAACTTCCGACGTTCGCCTATCTTTCTCGGGGGATTTCGACGACATGTTTTATTTGGTGTTAAAAAGAGGGGTTAGCTGCGCAACTGGCGAGACAGACCCGTCGTGGAAATTGCAAGGTTTCTCACCAATCACTCAGGGCAAGGCTGCGTGGGCGCCTTTCGACGCCGGTGAAGGGCCCCTTTCCGTATGCATTTGCCACGATAAGGTGGCAGGGCTGTTGGACCCCTTTGGAGACCCAGATGAGGCCACAGCCGTCTGCGGGGACGTTTCAAATTACGCTGTGAAAGTCGGCCAAGTCTTTGTCAACGGGCCAATTAAGCAAGGAGTTGACTATAGTTGCCGGTCAGGATCAATTTGCACCGTAACACTTCAGTACATTGCAGTGGACACAGAGACAACCAGGGCAAGATGGGCAAAGAGCCAAGTTTACTCGCAAAAAGTAAGTTTTCTGCACCTTGCGGGAGCGTCGTAAGATTGTGCAGTCGTCCAACTCGTTGTGGCAGCCATTCCGAGACCCCATGATTCCTTATGTAAAACTTTGTTGTTAACTGCATCTAATGCAGGAGCACTGCAGTGTCGCTGGGACAGTGCTGATGTCTGGGGGTTCTTACATTAGCGACATTCGAGTTGGAGAGCTAACTACATCGACGGACCCGAATTACCCCATTACCTACGACACGCGCGAATCTGCCTTTATGTTCCATGACCTTGTGGAGTCGGGGGCAGGAAAGTACAACCTCTGCTGGAGACAGGACGGCGCCACAACGGGTTTGACGCTGGGGTCTTTCACCATTCAAGGTGGGCACCTTATCTGCATGGCCAGCTGTATTGTCAGCGGTCTTTCGAAGGATGTACCGTTTATTGCAGCCCACATTTACATCTACAGTAGAGTGAAGGCTTCCCGTAACGAAGCACTTTGGCTTGTTTTGTGCGGGCCCTCATGCCTCTTACTGCAGGCCCTCTTACGGCTCAATCCATTTTACCGGTTGTAATTGGCAGGAAGTTCGCAGTTGAAATCCCTATGAGCAGCATTATCGACGATGAGGAGGCTGCAAACTATCGCATTCGGGCATACGCTTACAAAGGCAGCGACATATTGAAGAACTTTTCCTGCAGACAGCAGACCGACGAGTATTCTGCCCCTGCAGCATTCGGTTGCTCACCGGTCACTGGACCTCCCACAGCGGTGAAGAATAGTGAGGTTGGCAGCATCCTCGTATGGGAAGATGTATGCGTCATCGTCGATGAAGTGTACGACGCAGCATTAGCAGGTGATAAGTATGCCGTTTGCTTCTGCGATGGAAGTATGCTGGGGTGCAAAACTGCAGATCGATTTCAGCTCCTCGTCCAAGCGTGGGAATTGTCCGGTGAGAGGCGAAGATACTTTTTCGGAGAGCATCTAGACAGCTTTAGGATTGGCTTTTACTTTCTTAGTATCCATCCGGAGGGATCGTAATTGAAGATACGATATTCTTGTGGACGGCTTTGTTTGTCTCAGGACCGAAACCACTGGAGCAGGATATTCTCCCCCGTTACCGACCTGGTGTCCGATTCTCTCTGGACGTGCAAGGGGTTAACTTGCTCGACGATCCAGCTATCATGCTTTCGCCTGCCTTTGATCCTCTCACCAACACCCGGTTTACTTGCCAGAGCGATGGCAAGTCGCTGATGCGTACATTCACTGGCAGTGTTTCTGATGACCGGGCTGTTGCTACGTTCACTGATATATATGTCCCCTTCACCATATCTCAAGGACTCTTTTGCTGGTGCCCTGCCGGAGATTGCTCAACTGCGAATGACTTCAATGTACAGCTCGGCCGTTTTAGTGTGACAGGTACGTTTCGCAACTGTGTAGGCTTCTAGGCTTGCATGTTTACTTTCAACCTGTTTGTGGAGCCGAACTCGTCGTCTTATGTCTCCGTCTTTATATTTCTGGCTTGTATATTAATGATTGGCTTCAAATACTTCGCTGCATATGTGGTTTGACCATATTTTTGATTTTTCGAAGCCTGGATACTTACTGCCTCAGGTCCCACCTTCATTGCACCGCGCGTAGTGGTGGGTAGCTACTTCGCCGTCCAGCTGACAGGCCCGAGTTTGAACACAAACGACGCCATCAGTATCCGCGCTAGAAATGAAATTTGTGGTGATGCTGGAACGGAGTATATGGACCCTGATCTTGTAAAGGAGGAGGAAAACCGCACGTTGGACAGTTTGGGAACAGTTGAGTCATTCTCTGTTTCAGAGAATAGCGTCTCAGGCGAAACGGAGATGACGTGGACATCATGGCGAATGCGCATTTCGGAAGCAGTCGAGGGATACATGCAAATATGCTATTGCCCGTCAACGGAACAGGAATGCGATGGTCCTGGAAGCAAGCTAGTGCTTGCAGGATTAGTAGAGACACGCGGACCTTCCAAAGGAAACGTCGAGCTTATTGGTAAGGCACTACACTCTAGCACATTTGCTTTTGTGGGAACCACCAGCCTGGCTGCAGCTTAGCGCGCCTTTATCTTGCCGGTTTCTTTTTGCGAAAATCTCCTACTCCATAACGCCTGTGTAGTGCGGCTGTTGTTGTTTCTACCGACCCAGCTTCTGAAGAATACGGGGAATACCTTGTAGTCCGTGGTACCAACTTGTCAACTCGGAACCTTTTAAGGTACTTCCAGTATACACCCGTTGAAAACTCGACCAGTACAGAAGAACAAGAGGCTGAAATCTGCTCAAATTGTAAGTATTTTGTGACGGTTCCTAATCACAGAATTTCAGCCATATCCATGAGGGCTCCGTCAGTGCCAGTTTTAGACAGTCTCGATGTCTCCAGAGTGAAGCGTCAGTGCGTCTTCACTACTTGCACGTGTTTGCAGCCCTCAACGCGAACGCCGGAATAACCACGTATCCTGAGGGTGTAAATGCAGCCGGCACGGAACAGTACTTCTCAGTGACGGTTTCTGTGGGTAAGCAGTATGCAGCCTGCTGGTCCTTTGGAGATGCTGCCGCATCGAGAGCGACATCTATGTCACGGTCGAGAATTGCTCCAAGCTTTATATCGGCTGATGACCTGGTCAGCGTTAGAAGAAGTCTAATAGAAGAGGAACAGTCGGCGTCATCTGGGGCAGCCCTTGCTGATCAATACATACCTGCATCGTCAACCGACGAATCATCCACTGATGCCGAATCCAGGAAGTGGTTTTTCGTATCGCTTTTCTCCCAGACAGGTCCGCTCTCCTAGCTGGGGCAACAGCCCACGCATTATGCACTGCTGGTGTTGTTGGTGTGCTCAACTTCTTCGCCCTTTTTGCCAAGTTTGCTTTGTTTTCGTGGCTGGATAGTGGGTTTTTATTGGTGTGTTACTGCCCAATGGATCAGGCTTCCAGCAAGGTGTCCATAACGTGGTTATGGGGCACGAAGACACCGTAGTCGTTAATGGCGTCATAAACGCAACTGATACTTACGAGGCGGCACTTGGACGTAATCGGGATATGAGCGAATGCTCCAAAGTATTTGAGGTGGCGGAGCTCCAAAGTGGCATAGGCATCACCCCATTGTCTGTCACCGAAAGCCGAATGGTCCTTCAGTAAGTCCAAGCTTGCATCTCCTTCCGAACGAGTAGGCGCTGAGCAGTTTTTGGCCAACTTCGATATCATTTTCAACATCCTAGTTAGAAATGGTCTCATTGATTTCAGCGAAATCGTAGGCTGGCGTGAAACCAGTGGACTTGCTCTAGAAAAGACAGTATTTCCGGCTTGTCTCGCTAGGTCACTTCACTGGCGCGTCACTTTACTTTTCTCAGGATGTCTGTGTCAACATTTGGTGATTTTTTTCCTTGCTTTTGGCGATCACGAGAAGGCGTCAGTGGCGCATATGCATCTGTGTGCTTGCTCGTGTTTCTCTATGCATTTGATGGCGTGTGCAGGATGGAACCGGCACTAGAGCAGGGCTGGCACAAAATCTGCATTAAGAATAAAGGAAATTCTTTGGTATTTGATGCGGGGACGGTAGAGGTGACCTCCTACTTTCAGAAGTCAGGGATGGATATGTTTGACACTCAGAGAACATTTGTACTGCCATGCCTTACAGGAACCAAAAATTCTCAAAAGGAGCAAGTGAGGGAAGTCCCGACAGTTTGGTTGCCAGATGGTACAGGTTTGTGGACTGCAAAGGTAGTTGTTGGGGTGCCACGAACGGAGAAGGAGTACTCAACACTTCAGGTCAATTCATCACCCAAAGAGAACTTCGTCGAGTTTCCGGTAAGAAGAGGATGTCTGTGGTCAGTATTCGCAGTGTGAGCTGCTAGTACAGCTCGGACCACATGATGTGTGCTCAGTTTGCTCTGCGTCTATAACCTTAAGCCCGGCGCTTGTGCTACTGTGCGCTTCCATTTTGGTGGTTCAGCAACTGCGTAACGTGCTGGCATGCGACACGACGAAGGATCAGATAATCCTTGTCCTAGGTGCTACTCACATGCTGGTTCTCTACCCGGACAGTGGGCGGAGTCCTGAGTTAATCAACCACGGCGTACCGTATCCGGCTGATTTGACGCACGCTGGCGACCAAATTTTCATAACCAGCTTTGATAGTCACTTGATCACCTCCTTCAGCTTGACGAACCCATCTAAAATCATCTTTTACGAACCGAAGAACCCGACACTGCTCTCTGCAGGGGGGATTCAGGTGAGGATTCTCTTCAGACTTATCCAGTCTTTCTGCACCTCTGGATCGTTTTTGTCCTGCAGAATTAGTTTTGTCTCAACGTCATGGCACGTCAGTGGCATTTACCTGGGGCTTGCGGCTTTTATCTCCTTTCGCAGGCAATCTCAAACATAGATGGCAATGAGACTGCTATTTTCATTGCGGATACCGTCGGAGGTATCATTGGTCGGCTGAACATTTTGCCGAATGACCTGAATGAAACAGCTCACGGTGGAAAGATCACTAGGGAGTGGACTGCATTATTTGGCAAACAGAAATCTGACTTCCGCAATACGGAGGGTGTAAATCGCCCATTCTGCGTTGCTGAGTTTGTAACCCCGTATTCGACGCAGGAGAACATGAATTCATTGCTCGTCGTCGGAGAGGTGAGCTAGCCACAACTTGGGTAGTCCGTCGTGAGTTAACGGAAAACGAACAGCATCGCCAGTTCTTGGGTGTTATGTATTTTTTGTTCAGCTGATATCTGATCGCATCACTTTCCTAAGCATAGACAACAACAGCATTTCTTTCTACAGACAGATCACTTTCGGAGTGACGAAGTTTATAACAGGTCTTCGCATCATTGATGAGGTCTTGCTTCTGACGGCCAAACAGTGGTCCGTAGAACAACAACTTGGCCGGGCAGAAGTTGCATATATCACGCTAAGCCAGCTGATAGACAACGTGTACTTTACGTACCCGGATTTCAGCAAAAAGCTTCAGGCTGGTCTTCGATATCGTTTTCTCCCCTTAGTGACAGGTGCGGCTAGTTGTTACCTTGCTGTTTCACGGATCAGAACTTCAGTTCGAGAATAGGGGGATGGCAGGCGATGGGCAGTAAAGTCTGTGACATTAACCGATCTCAGAAGCACTGTCGGCTTAGAGCGTTTTTGTGTTCTTTACTTCAGGTCAGGAGATCCAATTTTTCAAAGAGGATGCAGAAGCCGGAGATCCGCTACAATCCATTGGGTTTACCCTTGACACGAAAACAGGCGAAATCCAGGGAACGCTTACGGCAACTGTAACTTCAAGAGTGGTTATTGTCGGTGGTGATTTGCTCGGATCTTACACGTGGTCATTTGAATTTGAAGCAGGGTGCCAATCCGGAGAGTATTTTAATGAGATATCGAACAAGTGCGAGCCGTGCCCTCTAGGGACGTTCCGTGACGAAGAAACGGAACTTCAGCGTTGCCAGGACCACAAGGCCTTCAGTACGACTTTACAGACGGGATCAACTAACCTGTCGCAGTGTACGTGCATCGAAGGCTACGAAATTGGACTTCTCGGAAATTGCCAGCCCTGTCCGGCAGGTGCGTGAAGCTTTTTGCATCAATTCCCGTTTGTGAACCTACATGATACAGAAGTGATATTCTTAGCGGTCTTGCTACCATTGTGGGAGACACGGAGTGCGTTTTTGCTTTTGCACAGGAACATACAAAGCGATAGCAGCAGACGCAAAATGCACAGGGCGATGCCCTCAGCATATGTACAGTGGGAAGACGGGTGCGGCAAGCTTGGAAGACCTTAATTGCCAGTGGTGAGAAGGCTTTCTTCTCCTTGCATAGCCAAGAAAGGACAGCTATATTTGTTCGATATATCTGTCGCATCGTTTCATGTGCCTCGCTGTGTGTATTTTGCAGCGAAGCTGGATTCTACCGGACAGAAAATGGATGTGAAAGCTGCCAGGTCGGGAGCTACTGTGCAGGGGATCTGTCGCCACCTGTCCAGTGTCCAGCATTTCAAACCACGTCCTCTCCCGCGAGCTCCAAGTTTAGTGACTGCGTTTGCATAGCGGGGTACTACCGAGATGGAGATGAGTGTGTTCCGTGCGACGTTTTGACGTACAAACCAATCATTGGAGATCACGGGTGCACACAGTGTCCGCAGCCGGCTCTCAGTGTTGTGGCGAGCAGCGAGCTCCTTGCAACCTCTGCTCCAGGCACATCAATGTTTTCAAGCAGGCGAGGTTCCACTCAACAGTCAGAATGCGAAGTGTGTGCCAGCGGATATTACTTTGACGCAGTATCTATGGGTGGATGTGTACCTTGCAAGGAGGACTTCTACTGTCCAGGATTCCAGCTGGGCATGATTGCTTGCAAAGATCTTTCTATAACGGCGGGGATCGGAGCCGAGAGTGTATTCCAGTGCAAGTATGCCGCAATAATTAGCACGGCATGCCGACGGCAGGTAGTGCGGCTGCTTCTATGCCGATGTAGTAGGGGTTGACACAGTTGCTTGCATGGCTCTCCTGCGTGTTCATCGTCAAGTTGAGTTGTTCTTGTTTGGTTTCTGTCTGTGCTCTCCAGGTGCCCCAAGGGATATGGTAAAGTTGCCAGCAGAAATCCTCTGGATCTGAGCCTATCATGCATTCCGTGTCCCGTCAACTACTTCCAGCACATGGACGGCTCGGAAGCTGAGTGCATGCCCTGTCCATCGAACTCCATGACAAAATCTACAAAGTCTTCGAGCATAACGAACTGTGTTGCTCTTCCGGGTTTCGGTGCTCTAGAGAACTTGCAAGCACTGTCCAACCGTGCGGAGGGGGGTGACACGGATGACTCGTCCTCGAACACTTTTTTGGATGCTATTGAGCTCGCCAAGGAAGTGGAAAAAGCTTATGAATCTCTCTATGCAGAAGATTTGCTTGCTATCAACGTATTTTGCAAGGAGGATATTAGCTCAGTCCAAGAGTACGATATGGCGGAATTCGTCACAATGCAGTATGCGATGTCTTTTGCAGAATGTCAAGCTGCCTGCTTAAAGAATGTGTACTGTACAAGCTTTTCATTTTCTAAGGAGGACAGGTTTCCAACCCACACAAACAGCGTCATGAACTACACCGGCATTTACTTTTACTCTTTCTGGCCTTGTCACCTGTACATGTTCGGATCAGCCGCAGCAGCAGACGTCGTGAATTGGAGGGACACGTGGGAGGGCACTGATGTAAGCAAAAAATTGACCATGTTGCGGAACACTTCGTGCTGAGCCCATTGCTAAGCGTAACGTTGATTTGCTTCTGGGGAGTGCAGTTGCATCATTTCTTCTAGTTGCGAGAGCTTTCTAACCCTTTGGCATTTGACAAAGGAACATTTTCCTTTGGCCAGCATGCGACTGCTTGCTTGTTCATTGTATGTCTGTGCGCATGTAGGTGGAGCCTGGCAAGGGAGTGGCGTGTGTCGTGGGCCGGGTAAAGGATGAGCTTACTTGGCAAAGGTTCCGTTATGTCGAGTGTCCACAGAATGCCTACTGCCCAGGAGACAAGGACGCCAGCATCTTCGAATGCCAGGATTACGCTGTAACGCTCAGTACGGGGGCATATTCCCGGGAACACTGTTTGTGTGTCCCCGGCAGGGAGCCCGTGGGGCATATGTGCGAACAGTGCAAACTGGGCTTCTACAAGAATGCCACGGAAAATATCGCCTGCACGGAGTGCCCACAATTCTTCACGACCAGCATCACCGCGAGTACAAGTGCGTACGAATGCACCTGCCAAGCTGGCATGTACATGGCGCTTCCCGGCACAACAGATGAAGCAGAGCAGACGGAAAATACCGAAAACACGGAACAGGGAGAGCAAACGGAACAGAACGGACATTCGGAGGAGACGGATGAAGCTTCAGAGCCTCCTTCAGCAGCTGCATTAGAACCGGCAGCTCTCGAGACAGTCGTTCATGCCAGATCGATTCGGGAACTAGGCAGGGATGGGGGAATGGAGCCAATGTCACCCGGGGGTGTATCAATGTTACAACTAGGGCAATTGCCATGGATGGAAGAAGAGATTCGAGAACAGCTGGAAAAAGTAGTAGAATTGGGTGTCTGTGTCCCTTGCCACACGGGGATGTTCTGTCCGGGTCACTGGAAGGATCCACCCACAAATTCTACTCATATGCCTCCACAGCAGTGTATTGAGGGATCCAGCGTCCCCCAGTCTACCGTAAATGCAGATTCTGTCGAGAAGTGTCTTTGCCTTGCGGGGTATGCTTATGGCCGTTCGTCGGATGCCGCTGTAACTTCGGATTCGTATTTTACGTGTAGTAAGTGTCCTCCAGGCACGTACAAGGAATTACAAGAAAACTCACCATGTTCGGGTCGTTGTATGAAGGATGCCGAGACGTATCCTGGGGCAGTGAGCAAGAGCCAGTGCTTTTGTCAGGTTGGGCGCTACGCAGTAGAGACGGATGATTCTGAAGGTATGTTCAGTTGCGTGGAATGCGTTACCGGAGGCGTTTGCGTCGGTGGCTTCAAACAGAGCGTTATCAAGGCGATTGAGGACAATCCCAGCTATACGAACATCACCATCGCCGACCACACCACTCCGTACCCGCAGAAAGGATGGTTTGCTACTTTCAAGACCAATGCTGATGAACCTTGGAGGCCGAATTGGTTACCATTTACAGTGGATTCTTCGAATGAAACTTCCAGTGTTTTCGACTTGGGCACTGCTGCCGATGAGCACGGTGGCGTTTCCTTTGTCCAAAGTACGCGGTATGATCGGGTTCCCGATATTCACCCCTGTCCTGTAGACTACAGATGCCATGGCGGTCCGTCAAATGCTTGTGCTGAAGGAGGATCTGGATATCTCTGTAGCACATGTGAGAAGGGCTACGACATCTCTACCCATGGAGGGGTATGCAGCAAATGCCAGCCACTTTGGTTTGAAGTCGTCTACCTGATTGCGTCGAGGCTCGTTCTTTGCGTTATCGCATGGCTCATAGCGGCAGTCAGTTGTCTTGCCGTACGAAATCCAGCCTGCATTCATCCTATTTTAATCCGAATCTGGTTGTCTAACTTGTTCGTCTTCTTTCTTTTCGGCTTCTTTCCTGAGAATAGTGTCTCGGCGCTAGTGGATTGGGCCCCGATGTACAGGGTTGTGTTTACGTATCCAATATTTGCATTCACCAAATACCCAAAGGTGTTCTGCATTCTGGACGAGCTGGGTTTCCCGCTGGACTTCAAGAAGTCTTGGTATCTTCAAAGATTTGCTCAAATGCTTGTACCGCTTGTGGATGTGAGCATTACTACGGTGATATGTGGCATTGCGCTAATCCTGTACAAGTTATACAGGCGCTCCAAGATCCAGAGGGTTGCGCTAGTTCTGAGTCATGCTCAAGAAGTCCATGCAGGCGACATTTGGGCGATGCGCACTGTGGAGAAGATCCAAGGCATGCGATGTCTTGGGTTGTTCCACTACATATCTCCTGCGGGGGCGACACAGTCTCAAAAAATCCTGCGTTTCTTTTGTGACCTAGTTCCAGCTTTCATGGTTATCTGGTTTTGGAATTTGCCATTCCTTGTTATTGAGTGCACTCAGCTCCTGGGGTGTGTCTCTATATCGTACAAGAATGAGCCGGCCATGTACTTCTTGACAGCCCTTCCCGAGCAGGAATGCTCTCTCAACGAGCCATGGTTCCTGGCTGGTGCCATCCTGGGGAGTAGCGGTATTTTGGTTTGGGGCATTGGCAGTGTCATCGTCTTCTGCGTATGGATGCTGTACACGGACAACGCTGACAAGTTGGAGGCAAGGTTCCGTTATGGCTTCCTTTCAAATGGCTATGAATATCAATATCGAGCATGGGAAATGTTCCTAATGGCGCGCAAGCTGGCATGTGCCTGCCTCCTAACATTACAGCTCCATATGAGTGCATCGGGAACCCAGGAGGTTTTCCGGAATTCTGTCAACCTCCTGATTGTTACCATGTGCTTAATCATCCAGCTGCTGATTGAGCCGTACGACCGACGGAGCCACAATCTAACAAACCGGGTGGAATTTATGGGCCTGCTAACCAACGTCATCATCTGTATCATCATTCAAGGGAGCTTTTCGTTCCAGATTTTCAAATGGCTAGGGCCGCTACCGATTGTCCTATGTGGACTGTTTCACTTGTACGTCTTCTGGAACTTATTTGTAGAGGCGGGACGAATGGTGCTCATGCGCCCGCATCTGGCAAGGCTGCCGTCACCTTGGAGGTACTTCAACCTGGTGACTCGTTCTCTAGCCAGATTGTATACACGAGGACATGCCAAGGTCTATTACAACTATATCACCAGTGAGATGGTGCTTGAGGCGGCAGCCAAGTCGCGGGTTTTCCATATTCGCAGGATGATTCAGAGGAAGAAGAAGCTTACAGACTACAGAAAAATCAATTACGAAAACAGAACGTATTTCGTCTCCGCGCTCACCGATTCCCTTTCGAGGCTGGTGATTTCCTGGTGCCAGTTTACGATTCCTGGTGACTGGTTGGATTTTACCATTCGTTATGCGTTCTGCTACTGCTTCTGGATGAGGCATCGCGCCTCCAGCAATCGAGAACCTCTCGACTTGGAAGAGTTCGATGCAATGAGGCCTTCACTTTTTAACGAGTGCTACGTTGAGACTGAGGATGGAGATGATGATGGTGCCCTAGATCCAGAGACTCAGTGCAACGAAGTAGAAGAAGAATTTTTAGACATGCTTGTTGACGACGACGTGTATGATGACAGTCCAATCACTCTCATGGAGTTGTACGTAGCAGTGCAGTCTATGCGTTACATTCCCAAAGGCCAGCTTCGCCGGCTTCACATGTGGTACCGCGAGAGGATGGCTGCCGCTAGCAGCTCGGATATGCCTGCACTGCGCAAGGAGAATGAAGAACTTGAGGCAGAGCTGCAGCAGTTGAGTGAAGTGTTGCGCAACCGCTTTGGCACGCCAGGAGGCGATATGTCTTTCAACATCCTGGATTTCTTCTTTGCTGTCGAAATATTACACGAGGCGGAGGCAGAGAACGCCCGTATTAGGAAGGACATCGACAGGGAAATTGCCAGCATCATGAATGCCCGTGCAGCCCGTTCGGTGGCAAAACGGGTTCAGATGGAACTAGATAAGACAGATGGAGAAGAGCTTGAGGATATCCTTAGATCGTTCGATGAGGCAGCAGAGAGGCAAACAGACGGGAAGGCGCGTGTGCAATACCTGGAGGCGGCCGTCGAGGACAGCAAGAAGAAAGTGAAGTCACGCAGGAAGCCGGAGCTTTCGAAGAAACGCATTGTTGTAGGGTCCAGACGCATCGCGTTGACGGAGGAACGAAAGCGCATCCTTCGCCCCAGCTTCTCGAATCTTGATGCAGCCGACAGCAAACCCACCCGCAAGTCATTATCTCCAGTCCGGTTTGAGAAATCCGATTCTACTTACGGCCGTACCATTTCGCCTGTTGGTTTTGACACCGATAGAGGGTCTGCAGATGGCTCAGGCCGCCGGCGTATTAGTGTAGGGATGGGGGCAACGGGCACTGATGGGACTGAAAATGGCACCCAAGGAAAATCAAGACGCATATCGCTTTCTCCCACACCCAGCGATGCGTCTGAAGGAGGAAGGAGGCTAGGGCTGCATACGTTACAATCCCAGAGCAGTGGAAGTTCAGACAGCATTGGCAGCCCAGAAGGTGGCCGGCGGACCGTCAGAAGCGCTTCTCGGCTAGGCTCGTCCGACCATCTCTCCTCCGGTGATGAGGAAAGAGCGCCTAAGAAAATTGCCAGACTCGCTTCTCCAAGTGCATCCTTCGCATCAACTGACGGGCAAGCAGGCATTGAGCAGCAAGTGTCACGTCGCAGAGTAGTGCGTATTGGAAGTGGTACTTCGTCAGAATCAACTCAAACAGGGACACTTCCCGGGGTAGCCGAGGCGGCGCCAAAGAGAGCCATCAGAACAGTACGCTCAACAAGCGTGGTGCCGCCAGAAGAAGCGCAGCCACCGACGGCATCCAGTGACCCTGCCCCGTCTCCAAAGCGGTCCATTGGGCTCTTTAAACGCCCCCCTGGGCCCAAAGAAGACAAACCGTGAAGTCTGGAGCACCACAGCATACGGAAGAATCCGCAGGCACGCGCATTACCCCGAGATATTGACTCGTATTAACTGTTCGGCTCCAGGGCTACATCATCACTTGGCGAGCAATACAACTGTGCTTACAGCGGGGTGAACTGGAACTTTACTTTTCAAGCAGACTACTCAAATTTGTCTGCAAACTCATGTCATTTGTCAAGGAATGGGAAGGGGATTCCTTCGCGCTGAATCCCTGTAATACCCAGTGTTGCGTGTTCCTGTCTGCTTTTCCCCGTAGCAGCTGTAATTTTTTTGGGGGCCATTCTAGTGGAGGGCAGCACGGGAAATTCGTCCCAGTGCTTCCTAAGCCCCACGTGGGTGAAGAAACTTGCAGATACTGCCACCTGCTAGCAGCGCAAGTGTTGCAGCTGTCTTTCGACATCACTTAGTGCGGCTACGCGGACAAAATGTTGACTATTGCACTTGTGAAAACCCTCCCTAGAGTAACTCAGCTAAGACGGTGTGCTACACTTCTAGGACACACCGAAACATAGCATGTACTGACGCGCAACTAACATTTTTCATGAGCTCGTGGGCGGCTCATTTTTCATGAGTTGGGCTCATGAAAAATGTCATCCTGCTTACTCGGCCGGCATCTGCTGGAGCGGACCAAAACCGGAGGTAAAGCCACACGCTCGTCACTCTTCGCTGAACCTGAAGGACTAGACGACGGGGAGATGGTGTGCTGTATAGCGGCGATAGCAATGCGCCAAATTTCCATACCCGATATATTTGGTAACAGAAAGATGCAACGTACGATAAGAAATGTGGATACACATTTTTATCCTGCAGGTTATGAATTGTCCCCTTCCCATCCTTCACGAACTGCATCATCCCGATCGGCCTGCAGAAGGCTTTCAATGTGGGTCGATATAACACGGGAAAGCCGGTCCTGCTGGCCTAAAATCCGCCTCGGCCTTCGTGGCCTATACGAATTTCTTGAGCACTTTGAACGAGGCCGACCCACCGTTTCCTGCTCTTTGCTTTTCCTGGCGCCCCCGCTTCCCGTCACATCGCCACATCGCACGCACGTGCGACTAGAGGCGAGAGGATGCTTGTATCTATCTGTTTGCAGCACCCCCACAGAGCTCCCCCAACGAGGCATTTCCCTTTGCATGAATACACTAACCCACGGGAAAACAAACGAAGTGTTTAGCGCTACGCTTAGTTATGTGTGGGCAGTAGTGCCCACCCAAATGCCGAAGCAAGTTCTGCGCAAACATATTTCCCTGAATTTGCTGCTGCAGCGGCCTCTCAATCGTGTAGAGCTGTTCAGTATTCAGCTGTTCAAGTGTAGCACTAGCTGTTAGGGCTCCAAACATGTAGAGATTGTTCAGGCATTTCATGAGAAAGAAAGACACTTCCCAGGGACACAAAGACAGATACTCCCTTCGGAATGATTGGGCAGTGCAACTGCTACTTCCATTTTACAAAGCACCTCTATTGACCCACACATATCGCGAAATTCAGCACAGGGCACTCGAGATGCGCTATCCAGCGAACGGCCAGTAAAGGGAGACTAGCTGGAGCCACGCCCAGCGCGAGTCAGCCGTGCAACAAGGAAGCCACTGTGGAGCTGTGTTTTACATGAAAAGGAGTAAATGCAAGCAAGCTCGACCAAAAGCTGCAGTATATAGAGATTTCTATCACCGCAAACGGGCCGTTGAGATCAATGAGGTTGAGACGCGCTATCACGGATCGTGACGTGTATACCCACGTCCGGATATCAACTACGGTCGAAAATTTTACTTTGCTTTACAATACAAAACCTCACGTCCTGGTTATTTTCTTGTGTAAGGCTCCTTCTCTGTCTCCCCGCCTGGTGGGGCCCCCCACACACAGTCAAGGCCCATTCATTATCCCTCTCGTCAATGCATGCAGCAGCGGAGGCGCCGCAGCGAACACCAGTTACTAGTGAAGAGAGAACACTTTATAAGGAAAAGCGTTTAGGCTTGATTGCACGCAAGTCCCTCCTGATGTGGTGGAGGAGCACGGGTTTCAACCTGGCGGTATTTCGCTCCAATGCAACTCGCCGGGTGATCCCCCGCATAGGTGGCCTTTAGCCTTCATCCACATTGGATTCCGTGTTGAATGGGCATCTATATGTGACAAAGTTGCCAGGATTTTGCTGGGATTGAGTGCTTTACTTCGCCGTTGCGTTGCTGGGGGGCAGCTCATGGCGGAGTCACATTTGTCGATGTTTTACCGTTGTTAAGGACCCCTTGCCCTCTGGTCGAATGTTTGTGCACCTCTAGACTGTTGGCTCATCTAGTTTCTTACGGAGTATACGTACTCCAGACGACCCGTGCAACGCTTCGGCGCATCGCCAGCACGCTTCGAGACGCCAAGTGCTGAGATGATGCCACTTAAGAAAGCCATTTAACAAGGCCTGCCATCGTCCAGGCTCTCAGACGCAGACAAAAGGCAGATGCTGGTGGCGCCGTTAGGGGCGTGCAGCAGGTTCCCGGGGGGCCTCGGCAGCAATGCTGGCTCACGAGGACGGGCTTGCTGCCCCCAAAGAGAAGCGCAACACCCACTCAGGTGATCCGCATTGCTCAGACAAAGAGGGAGATGGGAAGCAGCGGACCCAGCAGCAGCGGAAACCCAGCATCAATTTAAGCGATCATCAGACCTCAGACAGAGAGGATGGACAACAACAGACCCAGCAGCATCAGAAGTCCCAGGAAGAACAGGATGCTGCTGGTATTCCAGCATGCTGTGAGGCGTTAGATCAAGGGTCCAGTTGCCATGAGGGCCGTAGAAGACGCCGCATGGGGCCATCGTCTCCAGGCCCTGATGTTCGCGCCCCTGAATCCACTGCGAAGAGAAAGCGTACTCCAAGCCGTCGGGTGGTGGAGGCAGCTGAATCCGCCCTGCTTCTGGAGCAGGTTATGGCTAGAGAGGACCTGACGGCTCGCGGAGCCCCAAACCATCCTACCCGATTCACTGCTGACTACCCTCGTCCGTCTTCAGAAGCAGTGCCGTCTCCTTACTTGGAGACGTACAGCACTGCTCCTGGCTACTTCGGTGATGTCGATACGCGCGCGGCGGCCTTGAGTGGAGCCCCGCGTCAGCAGAAGCAGCAGGCGGGGTCATCGGAAATATACGGGGCTCTAGACCTGGATGCCGGTGCGAAGGGCTGGGAGCCACAGATGGGGAAACAGGGGACTACCAGCCGCAAAGGCGCGCAGCGGCTTATCTCGGCTGTAGCTGAAGAGGTTCCTCTTTGTCGACGACCATGTAAGGAATACAACTGCATACTGTATAACTCTTAAGCTTAAACCGTAGACAGGCGTGTTTATTATGGATTCGCCACAGAATGTCACAGTGCTTGTGTATCCATTCATTGCCCTCAGTACCGTGTGATTCTGTTAGCAGATGCTCCCAATTTCATTTTAACGTATCTGGGCTTTGATTGTTGTGCGTATATCCGTGCATTGGTGCCAACAGCACTGAGCATGGACCTGTGCGTCATGTACGTTATGTTGTTGGGCAGAAACGTTGGTTATTTGCACTTTTCATATAAATATTGTGTAACCTCCGGTCGGTTTTGGGGTTTGCTCCGTTTCTGTGGGATTCAGTATTTGGAGCAGTGGAACCCAGGGACCTGTTGGGATTTGGCATTCCGCTGAGAGAGGTTCTGAGCACTCGAGAACGGCAGCGGGAGCATGAGCAGCGACAGCAACCACACCGGGAGAGACAAGCAACAGCGGAGGCGCATTTGCAGCACGAAGGGCTGCCTCACAGTGATCAGGCGCAACAGAGAGCGCAGCAGCGAGTTGGCGAGACGCCGTCCTTTGTTGTTGATGTGGCGGTGGTGGGCGCCGGGGTTGCAGGGTTGGCGGCTGCTGCGTACCTCAGGCGGTGCGGAGCGTCTGTAGTTGTGTTTGAGGGACGCCACCGAGTTGGGGGACGAACTTTCTCTTCTGTAATGCCGGAGAGAGTGCTTCCAGACGGCCGCAAAGTCGAACGTAAGTGCTCATTGTCTCTGCCTTAGGGTTGCCGCTCTCAGCTGGGCCGTGCTGCCACTGAAGTTCTTCGCAAAATTGGACCATCCTCTGAGTTGCGACTCGATTGTAGTGTTGCTGGGCCGTTTCAGGCACTTGTCTCTTTCATCGTAACTGCCTACTCGTTTCTCCTGCTTCTCTGCTCGTTCAGTTTCCACGTGTACCTGCTTTCTTTCCTCTCCCCGTCTTTCCCGCGGGTCTGCCATTTTCTGAGGCCGTAGCAATGCCTGTACCTTTCGGATAGAGTCGGAAAACTCTGCATTCCTCTCGTTTTTGTTCTTTGGTAACTGTGACTCTGCTTTCTGTTCCGACGCAGGCGTTGTGATCGACTTAGGCGCTTCTTACATGCACTGTGTAACAGCACACCCCAAGGAGGCGGGAGGCGCCGCCGATTGCCGGTGGCGCCGGGAACCTTCTCGATCTGTCAGTGGCATTGCAGCGGTGCTGCAGCCGGTAGTGGCTGATGTGGCTGGGAAGCAGAACTGGGAGTCGACGCTATTTGCAAGGTGAGGTAGTGGCAGGTCTTTCTCGTTTGTGTAGGGGACTAGGACAGCACCGCTGCGTTTTTCTTGCCCTTGAGTGCATTTTGTGGTTGATGGGAAGCGTATATGATGCCGTGTTGGGTGCACGCAACCTCCATGAAGAAGACGTAGGAAACTTTTGACATGCGGGCCGCATATTTTCACTTTCTATGGGGTAGGCATAACGTAAATGCAAGTTACAAGGCCGAACCTCCCCCTCCATGCGCGTTGTGGGGGTGCTACTGCAGTTGGAGCGACGAGGCTTCTGGAAAAGAAGTACCTTTTCTTTCTGTTTTAAAGGTGCATCAACTCCTTGATCGGCTACGCGAAAGAACGGCGGCAAAGCTTTTGCACTTGCCCCCACCCCTCACCGAAGCAGGAGGTCCAGGGCCCCCGGCTGCTTCTTTACCCAATACAATCCCTGCCGCAGACTTTCTTGCCCCCTCCCTGGATCAATTCCTCGTTGCTTCCCTGGACAGAAGACGATCTGCTAGCAGGCACAGCAGTGGGTTAGGGGGAGCCGGCGCAACAGAGGACGCAGCGGCCGTTACCGACCCCACTGAGGGGCGTCATTCAAGCGTTCCTGCCATTCAGGAGGACCTTCCCATGCAGGAAGCGATCGACTGCCCTGTTAGCGCCTTGGACAGCAAAGGCACTAAAGGCCACAGCAATCAGCAGGCAGACCATATGATTTGGCAGAGGAGCGACAGCGGAAGCGAAAAGGGAGAGGAGGACAGCGCCCACTACCAGCATGACACAACAGATCCTTGCTGTCAGTGGTCCCCCGGCTCTAAAGAGAGTGGCCTTCGCAAGCAGAACAGGAGCATATCGGACTCCCGGTTTGCTTTATACTACCCCTTGGGTGAGGCATTCGTCCGCAGAGCCATTAGGGCATATGGAGGATGTCCTCTGTGTTGCACAGGGGCGTGTGGGGGAGCCTCGCGGCGAGCTGATGAGAGGCATGGAACTCCCGGAGGGTCGGCAGAGGGAACTGTGAACAGCTGCAAAAGAGAGGGCATCTGGGGTTTGCCCGCCCCTATTGTTCAGCCGGAAGGGTGTGCTAAAAGCATCGGGACATCCGCTGGTGATGCTGGGGCCGCCGACGGAGAGCTGGCACACGTTGGAGGGGCCTTTCAAACCGACTCGGCGGGGGAGGCGGGAGAAGCACCCCTTTGTAGCTTGAGCCGCAGCCAGCCTTGTGCAGGGGATCTCGCACGGGATGGGAGAGATGCAGGCAAGATGGACTCAGCTCCCCCACAGCAGCTGATCAGGAAAGAATTGACGAAGAAGCAGTCTGGTGTTTGCACCAGAACCCGAGGCAGCACTACCCAGAGCAGCAGCACCAGCAATGGACAGCAACTACTTAAGGGCAACCGCCCGAAGAAGAGCAGCACGACGACAGGGGCGCAGACGCATACACGGCTGGTCCCTCCTTTGTCGCTGCATGACAACAGAGGTTTCCGTCGATCGGCGTGGGATGCTCTACAGATTTCTCTGTGCGAAATATTGGCTGAGGCCGAGGCAGATGATGGGGTACAAGCTGGGTGCGCAAGTAGTAGAGAAGGCACTAACAGGGATTGCCGCGCTCTAAGGCCACGTAGGCCTCCACCTATTACTCCCACAGAAGCTCGCATGCTACTGGTTGTCTTGCAGTCTAGACTGGGCTACGTGGGCGACCTTAGAGAGCTACCTTTGTCTGCTGTAAAAAATTATCCTTACGAAGTTGCTGGGGTTGGAGCAACCCTGAGAAAGGAACTACTAACCCCACAGTTGGGGCCGCCGCCGGTGCCTCTAGCTGTCCCGCCGGCGCCCAGTATGCAGCGACTTCGCATGCAGCAAGTTGCGCTGGAAGCATCCCTGCAGCAGGAACAGCACGTCCGTTCTTACCCTTTTTCGGCGTCTACTGCCAATTCTGCTGACAAACTTGTGGTGGATGGCTGGGGCTGGCTACCCTTGTTCTTGTGCCTACAAGTGTCCCCATTCGTTGTAACAGAAGCCACCGTCCAGTCTATAAGTGTCAAGCATCGTCGCCGCGATGGTCAAGATCGCGCAGACAGTATTTCTGCTCCACAAACGGAAACATCGCGGGCTTCCATAGGGAAGACGGACGGCTCTTCTGGAGATGGTGGCAGTGACACACAGGACGAAGAGGCTACTGGAGATGAAGCATTCCTCGCCGAGACCCATCCGGTCCGCCTTCGGATCGAAGTGAACCGCCGCCTTCGCCATAGCGCCTCTCATGGACTCCCACAGGCAGAGAAACAAAATGAGCCGCCAACGCATATTTGGTAAGGGACCCTCTGTTGCGTCTCCACTACAGCCCTCCATTATTTATATGCATGCCCTCCTGTGCATTCCTAATTTATTTACTTTCAAGCAGATGTGCGGTGTGCTGATGCATGCTCGTACGCATCGTTGAGTTCACAGCTATTGCCTCACCGGTCTTATTACAACAGGGTTGTTGCCTGAGGCGTCCACGCGCTCGCCGAGGACTAGCCGAAGCTGTCTATAACAAGACATAGACGCATGCTTGAACATTTCTTTGTTTGCAGGGCGCACGCCAAGTATTGCGTAGTGGCGGTCCCACTGGCACAGCTTGCTCAAGCGCCTCTGCCTTGCACCAGAGTGTCAACCGCTGAAGAACAGCTCCCGCCAACTCTGGGCCTGATTGACTTTTCGCCTCCCCTGGGAATAGATAGACGCCGCGCTCTTGCGCGGTATAGGATGGGTTGCCACAATAAGGTGAGTGCTGCTGCTGTCCTGTGCTAGTACGCTGTCTCTAGCAAACCAACCACAAGCTATGGACACCACACCAGGCCGGAAGTGATTCTGCAGCTGACTTAACATCTGCAACTACCACGATTGCATCGCCCAGAGGCTCCTTTGGTATGTTGAGCAGTTGGGTCTCAACTCTTTGGGTTGTGACCCTCGTGACTGAGATTTTTGCCGGACTGGGATCTGCCGCTACTTGGACGCTGCGTGTAGGTGGTCATTCGGTGGCACCCCGACGACGTTTTCTGGCATGGGCGGGGCTTGCAGTTGAATTGTCTTGATCAGAAGTTCCAATTTCTCAACCTTCACGCCTATGGCAAACCAGGGTGCCTTCTTGCGCATTGTTTTCCCCCGTTTTCCACTGGCTACGGGGGTCTCCACACTGACCAAGAGGTGCGGTAAATATCTAGGGGACGTTTTGGGTTTTATTCTGCACGGTTGCTTATGTCCAGGAGGAGTACTGTTTTCCCGATGGTTGGTTCCGGCCGCTTTCAGCATTGAAAGAGGCTTCTCTTTGCAACGTCTTTCAATGCTGAAGCTTGAGACAAGGCCAAGGCCTCCTTGAAAGAGCGGTGGTGTATTTGCAGCAGGTTTTCTGTGCTATCGTGCTTTTCAGGTGGTAGCTGAAGTATTGGCGCTTCTGCAGCAGATGTTTGGCATATCTGACGCATCTTTTCCTCGACCAGTCGATTTTGTCGTCTCACGGTGGGACGAAGATTGCTTCTCTCGAGGCTCTTATTCCACGCCGGTGCGTCGCGTATTCCGTTATTTGTAATATAGAATTATTTCATTGATATCTTTAGGCCTCATGGGGCGCACGCTACGCATGCTTGTACAAGTGGCAGGTGAACGATGGGCGCCAATCCCAGGATTGTGAAAAGGCAGACCTGAAGGGGTGAGAGTTCGCTGCTATGATTGCTTGTTGCTGCTGTTTGCGGTCGGAATACTGCAGGGGGTGAACGCGTACGACAACGATCTCGACATTATGAGGGCCCCCCACCCTCCACATGACCCTCGTGTGCTGTTTTGCGGAGAGCATCTTAGCAAGGCCTATTTTCAATGCGTCGATGGCGCTTTTGATACAGGTAAATCTACATGATTCAGCGGCATAGGCGCACTTCTTGTCTTATCCTGCTTTGGAAGTCTAGGCCATTGGAGGGGTATGGAGCAGACTTGCTTAGTCCTTGCATTAGGAAAGGGGAAAGGCCGCCAGCGACTCCGATTTTCCGGACGTGTTACTTCGTCGGCCGTTTGCGGATACGTTCAAAATCCTCGCAGCCTTATTACATACTCCATGTATTTCAACGGCATAACGCGTCCTTACTCAGAAGAATGGTTACCGTTGGACAGGGTTTTAAGGGGGTACCGTTCATCTGGTAGTCGTGCGTTTGAGCTGCAGGGCTACGCGCTGGGGAGGCCGTTGCTCACGAGTGTCTGCAGCTCCCGCTTCCCCCTAGAGAAGATGGAAGAAGTTTCGCATTGGATTGCTTTTGCCTGCCCCCAGTGTCAGGCCAGTCTGATGCTGCTCCTTCACCCCTTGGCAGCGAAGAGGTTCAGCGGCCCCAAAGCGCAAATAACGCCTCGGGGGGCGAACACCATTTTAGAGCAGCCTCAAGAACCTCGGAGGACGAATCTTATCAGCAAATCTCGCAAGGTTTGCTGCCGCAGTGCCCATTCTCGGGATTTCCGATGCCACCACTTCCCCGCGTGCTGCGCGGCCATTACTTAACAGATCAGTCAGACCTAGGCCTGACAGACGCAGAGGGGGAAAACTTGGCAGATGCAGGGGGCGGTCGGCGCGGCCCGCAGACCTGCGAGTCGGAGCGGAGGGCCGCACAGGTTGCGGCGGCTGAAGAGTATTTTCTTGCGCATTGCCTGGCCTTTATAAAAAAAGGTAGCAAGCGGCTCCTCGAGAGGCTGACACTGCAGCATCAGGGCACCCCCAATAATGGCTTCCCCGTAGAGCAGTTTCCCGTTGACGAGGCAATGCCGTTTTTTTATGCGAACCCAGCACGTGCATCGGGAGATGATATCGCCGAAGCTACAAAGGATGAGCCTCCTGCGGTGCCGGTTGTCAACAGTTTATCAGAGGCCGCACTCAGCTTCTTACAGCGCTTACCTACGGCTGCTCAGCGTCTGTTTTACAGGACCTTTCTTTCGGCATTCCCTTTGACTCCGCCCTTGTTAAGTGGTGACCCAGAGCAGGAGCAAAATTGCCAGCACACCTCGCCGCAACAGGAGCAGCAGGATGGCAGCCATGTAGGGCCAGAAGGCCAACAACAGTTTCAGCTTCCCCTTCTAGCTGATCTCCTTGATGCCCTCTTTCTCACAACGAACGACTCTGGCGCGAACGAAATTAACCAAGATGCTCCCCTCAACGAGACGGCACTCTTGCTGTCCCAGCAGTTTGCTCGTCGTCTAAAGCGCGGCTCTGGCGGCAAGGCGTTGGATATGGAGACTTTCCTGTTGCTGCTTGCGAAGAAGAACAGCCTAATCCGAGATGCAGTGCTCAGCCCTATTCGCGCCCTGGCGCATGGATTCCAGCGACACAGTGAGCAGAGAGGACCGCCGACGGAGACCGAAGTGGCCGAGGTGCCTTCGGCACCGGCTGAAGCAGCGGGAGCTTCGCTGGAGCGCTTCGTGAAGGAACTAATGCTGCCTGCTCTCCCTGCCCATGCAAGAAACACAAAGCCCCCTCGAATGGCGGCTGTCTCGGTGGGCGTGCTGTTGATGGAGACCCTTGAGAGGCTTTGTGCTGCAATCCCGGAAGCTCCCGACGGAGAGCAGCTGAAACGGGGAGCCACCATCATAGAAGACTTGGTGCTGAAAAACCTCGCGAACAGCCAGTTTGTCTCGGCCATTGGAAGCAGTGGGATGGCCGGCGGAGCACCGTCGAAAAGACAAGCGGCAGCCGAGTTGTCGGATCCTTTGCAGCATGAGCAGTTATGCTGGCTGTGTCGCGGGGAGGGGGATTTGCTGCTGTGCGATGGGCTGCCTCCAGCTGCGACATCTTCAGGCGCAACGGTTGGAGGCGACTCCTCCGACTTGAGCCCCTCAGCAGCTCGTCCAAGGCCGTGTCGTCATGTGTTCCACATTGGCTGTGCATTTCCGCCACCGACACCCGCAGAACTGCAGCCGAATGCCCACTGGAGCTGTCCATTGTGTAAAGCAAAGGCCTTCAGAGAACGCCATGGTCTTCAGCACGCTCATTCGGACGGGGGCCAGCAGGAGGGGGGAAGGGAGCACGAGCAACATTGTTCCCAAACCGGCGAGGGACAGCACGAGCGCGCAGAGCAGTCAGTGAGCACTGTCAATATGGAGAGGGTTGGCGGGGATACTGGCTTCGGGGGGGACCTACTGCGTTACATTTTCGAGTCGGTGGAGCGTCTTGCACAGCAAGGAACCGAAGAAAGGACTGCATACCAGTCTCAGCGGCAGCTGGCAGTATGTGAAGACTTGCAGATGGCTGCACTAAAGCGGCTTTTCGTTGATAAAGCTCGGAGTTTGCTTGCTCGGACCCGGCAGCTGTGCAAGCGGTTGCAGAACCTTCAGTCTGTGAGGATGAGGTCGTGGGTAGCAGCAAACCGCCGGAAGCTGCGCATGCGCCCGAAAGCCGGCTGCCGCGAACACCCAAAGCCGGAGGCTTCCGACTCTACAGAGCACACGGGAGTGAGAGGGCAGACCCCTTCGAAACATACACAAGGACCGCCGCTGGCAAGGCGTGCAACGGATTCTTGCTCACCCGACAGAGAAAAAGGTTCTGAGCAGAAAATCCAAGAGAACAGGGGCACGGGTAAGCTTGACGACATGGGGCAGCACGACGCCCAAGCAGCATCAGCTGATGGCGCTTCGGCAACAGATAGAGAACGAAAGCAGCTTCAGTCTGGAGAAGAAGAAGAGCGCGCTCGCTCCACGCGCACCTACGCTCCTTTTGGAAACTCTGGAGGCCTTGTCGCAGCTACAGGAAGCAGCCAAATTGATTCAGACCGCACTGTGACGGCCAATGCAGCCTTGGAGCAGACCCAAGTTAACCGTGAGGATTACGGGGAGAAGGATATCTCAGATGGGTCACAGGATGAGGTTTCATCGGGAGATGAAGCAGACCGTCCCATGGATCCATTTGCTGCCGCTGCGCAAACACCCAGATTTGCCAGAGCCCTGAGCGTGCTGTCGCGCGTCCAAGCAACAGACGGCTCCGCCTTACCCTTGAGCGTCTCACTGTTGCAGCACCTGCATCATTCAGCCCACGGCTGCTACTGTAAGCGTAGGAGCCAGCCTGCCCAGGAAGAAGTGAGGCTTGAAGACACAAGCGGCAGCAGCATGGAGAAAAAGGAGTTCTGCGGTTGCAGAGCCGACACTTCGTTGAAGAACGGTGACTGCATGTGTTTAAAGTTGGCTCACAAGAATGCAGTGGCTGCTCTGAGGGGCCTACTTGTGTTTGGGAAGCACAATCCTGCGGCTGCAGCCCAGGCGGGGCGCCGCTTGCGTTGCTTGGCACCCCACGTTAGCTCCAAAGATGCAGATATAGAGGCCCTCTGTCAAGGTGAACCGGCATGGCTGAATCGGTTGGTCAGACCCTCGAGGCGGCGGCGCCCTCAACAGCCTCGCACAGCATCAAGAGGCGTCGTTGTTCCAGAGGCTTCCTCTGTGCAGCTGTCCCGTCAACAAGCTTCGCTGCGAGCTTCCCGGCTTCAAGCTCATCAGAGGCATAGAGAGCCAAATGTGAATCCATGCAGAGAGAATGTTGCCAACGCGCAGCAGCACATAGCTGAAACTGACCTCCATAGAGCTGCCGGCGTATCCTGCGCTGCAGCACCAGCAACGGCATTAACGGGGCGCCCTGTTGCGCAACTACCGTTCCCCATTTTGGCGCAGCATTTCCCTCCTGCGGTTGCGTCTGCGGCGCCACAAGGAACACAATCAGAGGCGATCACCCGAGCGCTGCGCTCCCTTTGGCAGCAACTGCCGGCGGGAAGGGAGCAACAGCAGCAGCAGCAGCAGCAGCAGCGACGGCAGCAGGAATGCCCGCCAGCCGGAAGAGTAAGTAGTATATCAGTTCAGCAGCCGCTTATGCAGCAGCAACTGCAACAGCAACTACAACTGCAACAGCAACTGCAATTGCAGCAGCAACTGCAAATGCAACTGCAACAGCACCTGCAACAGCAGCTACACCAGCAGCTGCAACAGCACATACTGCAGCAGGAGCGATCTGCAGCAGTGTTCCGATCCACACAGGGGAGATGGCCGCCATCTGCAACCAGCGCTGGCGAGAGGAATTCTGGACTGGCGCAGCACCTTTCGCTACTTCGTGCTACTCAACCACAGGCTGCATCGGTTCCTCAATCTGTCGCAACTCCAGGAATAGAACAGCAACTGGAGCGCCAGTTACAGGAGCTGCTAAGACGGCAACGACTCCAAGCTTCCTTAAGGGACGTGCAACGCCGCTTGGGAGAAGTGCCACCAGCGCAGCCGCAAGTAAGCACTAGCCCACAGCAAGAACCGCTGCAACAGCAGCTTCCGCCGGCCAGGATGCAACAGACGCAGCAGGGCGACTCGGAGCAGCAGCGCTTGAGGGAACGTTTGCTTCGCTTACAGCAGCTTCAAAGGCAACTTCTTCTTCTGCAACAACGTCAGCGAGGTGGCTCTTCTGGTGAAGGTCAAGCATGACTGTAAACCTCTGCAAGGGCATAGTGACGGGACATGTACAGGTGTTATGGCCAAGGATCCCTTGACCATATTTCGTGGTATAGAGGTGTAGACTGCTGTTGCAACACCGGCCGCCCAGTTGCTGCATATTGTATCGAAGAGGTGATTTAGCTCTGTCAGTTTCTTCGGAGGGTTTGAGATGCCTACTGGACGCATGCCTACTGAATATGGTGCAGGTGTACCCGGAGCTGCAGCTTGAACAGTTTTTGTGTTGTAACGATGCTGTAGGTTCGTGGTGTGTACGTATAGGACTTTATGCTTCATCATAGGTCAGGCAAGACCGTAAGTCCCTTTGAAATATTCTTTGAAACTCGACAGGTTGTTTGCATCATCTGCCATGTTGGGTTACAAAAGCAGTCAAAGGCCGCATGCCCACTTTGTAGGCTCTGACGCCTTATTTTGTGTGTGCATCTTCGTTACGGCCCCTCTTCACCCTATTTTTTGGATTTTACCGCCTAGGCGGAAGCAGGCCATTGTGCCTGTCGGCATCCCTGCCGTGTGCTGCACGGACTCGTTTCCCTGCAGTATCAAGCGTGTCATATTCGGACTTCGAACTGCGAATAGACTAAGTCTTATCATCCTGAGAGTTGTCAGTCTACTGATGCTGAGACGAGTGACTTGAAAAAGCTACAACCGACGAGCCAAGTGGACAATGACAGTCGAGCACATCTTTTCGGCACTCCACTCGCTGTATCCCTGTGGTGTGCTGATGACGATTGCCTTCACGTCTGTGCGTTTAGCGCATGCACTGATTATACAGACCGACAAAAGGCTGCATTGGCGTCTTTTTACAGTGCTAATCACCGGCCTCGGGTGCCATTCTCAAGAGGAAGGAACGTCACGCCACAACTGCTGGCTGCTAAGGAAAGTTGTCACAGAAGACTCATTTTCCGGCGATTTAAGGGATTTTTCTGGAGAAGAGTGTTACGATGCACACGATTACCTGCTCTTTTTCTGTAGGCAGGGCATAATAATGTCCAGCAGTGCCGTTTCAAATGCTGCGAAGTCGGCAATGCAGCAAGTCAACTCACATAAAAGCCAATGCCCGCCACAACGCAGAGAAACAACGTCCGCAAGTAAGCGCTCAACATAAAATGATGAACTTTTAAACCAAGAAATAATAAACAAGCAACAAAAACAAGGACACACAGAAGACAGACAACTGAAAGGGGACAAGTGCTACCCATACTCAGTATGTGAAGTGGAGCAGCAGCCCAGGGCAACGACAAAAGTTCACGCGTAGAGACTGGATGGTCTGGAAAACGGTCGTCAAATTCCAATGTGAGACCATTTAAATTATGATACTCTAGTAAAGATTGGTCATTCTAATAAAAGCCACAAATATACTCAACTCGTTTGTGTGCTGTAGTGGTAGCGTTAAGGCAGTATCGAGGGGGCTGCAAGGGGGCTGCGGTGCCGGAGCGCATGCGTTGCAATGTTGCCGGCGACGGATATGTTTAACCTTCTGCGAAAACGTCGTGCCATCTACGGAAAAAGTGTTTCTTTTGTGAGCAATACGCCCGGGTGCCCGTTCGCGGTTTGCAACGGCTTCAGTGGCGCGTCGCACAGGCCAGTTCGCCTAGGGATACACGCTGAACGTGCCCAACTGCAGTTCTAGAACCCCACTGAGCCTGAGGGATTTAAAGGCCTATTTGTTCAGATGCGGTGCGGAACACTCTTATCAGGACAGTAAGGTCTGTGTTGCGCAGCGCACTGCCGTCTGGATGGAACTACCCAAGAAATCAAGGGCAACACAAGATTACCTCTGGATGCGCATGCGGATATTACAGCTGCTGTAGGGTACAGCGTGTGTTATATCTAGCTCCAAACCAATGGAGCACTGTCTAGAGCAACCCAGCTGCTTTCCTGTGCTGATTTCAATTTAAAGCGTATGCATGAAATTTCACGGACGGCTGCACGTGCAAAGCTCCGCATGAACTGTCGTTGAAAAATTCTCATCCGGAAGGGCGGATCCGTTTCCTGGCGCACTGGTCAAAATGTCACGATCGCTGCTTCCAGGGGCTCGAAAGTTCGTTCCCACAGGGGCGAATGATACTCCGCTGCCGAACTATGTCCCCGGCCTCGGCCGTGGAGCCACTGCCTTCTCTACAAGGGCAGAGACGGCTCCGGCNCCTACAGTACCCAATGCTAAACTCAGAGAAATGCGGGACGCGGCATCTCGCGCGGAGAGTCAAAGGCGAGCTAATGAGTAAGCGCTGCTCTGTCATTTGGGAAAGGTGCTGCCTGGATTCACTCATTCTGCTTCTCTGGTAGATAATCTTAGGAACTTAGATTGCTCTCCCATATATTCACTAGGCTGACGTCTCTTTGTCCTTCAGGTTGTGACGTCTATCGTGTTTCGTGTTGTTCAGGCTCTTTGGGAAGCCCCCTCCTGGCTATATTCCCGGAAGAGGGCGCGGTGCGACAGGGTTTGCTGGGGGTGTTAGTCGTGATGATTCCGTCGACTACACGCAGGGGGCGGCAGACAAAAGCGACTTGAGCGATGCAAATTTCGACCCTTTCACAGGCTATGCCGAGAACCTGTTTAATGATGCAGAGTGAGATATATTTGTGTGTCCGGCTCTGTTATCTTTGTTTCATGTAGACCGCATCCTCTCGTCACGCTTTTGAAAGTATTCTGTAGCAGTAATGCCTTTTCTAAGGTGGACCGTTAGTTGGTACAACTGATTGCAGACCGTTAGCTGACTATGACATCTGAGGAGCGTATGTGAAGTGCTGCGGCGCCAGGTACGATGAGGAGGACAGAGTGGCTGATGAAGTGTATGAGTCAATCGACCAACGGATGGACGGTCGCCGCCGGTCGCGTCGAGAGGCTAGACTTAAGGAAGAAATCGCAAAGCTGCGTGCGGAAAAGCCAACCATACATCAACAGTTTGCGGACCTCAAAAAAGGACTGACCAGTGTCACTCAAGGTTAGTTCATTAAGATAGGTGCTGCTGCGGAAAGCACCAAAATTAATATAGCATTTAGCTCTTAGCAACTTGTTCAGAAGGCGTGATTTTTACCATTTCCCTTACTTCGAAGCCCACAAGGGAGATGCCGTGATACGCCCACTGCTTCGGTGCTGCAGAGGAATGGGAGTCTATCCCGGACATTGGGGATTATACGTTGAAGCGGAAGCAGAAGAAGCAACAGATGCTAACCCCTGCATCGGATAGAGGAATATTAGAAGCTCGCAATCGCGAGTCATTCTCTAACTCGATCGCATCCGCAGGATCCGCCACTCCCATCGGGTTTGGGATGGCAACACCCCTTATGGCTGGAGGCTTGTCTACCCCCCTTGGGCTGCAGACTCCCCTAGGCATTCAGACTCCTCTGGGTCTGCGCACTCCAATGGGGAGCAGCACTCCGTCTTTAAATGACCTTGGCGAAGCCCGTGGCACAGTGCTTTCTGTTAAACTTGACAAGGTGATGGATAGCATTTCTGGCCAAACGGTTATCGATCCTAAGGGGTACCTTACAGATCTCAACTCCATGCAGGTGCGGCTTTCCTGATGAGTCTTATTTTCTTGCTGCCCCAGGAAGGCATAATATCAGGCATCCGTCTGTCAGGGCGCCGTGAAGTCTCCGATTTGTTGGCTGTTTTTGGTCAATTTTCTGCCTGCATTCAGCTGCAAAGTGACGCAGATATTGCGGACATAAAGAAGGCAAGGACTCTGTTGAAGTCGGTGATTTCCACGAATCCCAACCATGCACCGGGCTGGATTGCAGCAGCGCGCTTGGAGGAGCTTGCAGGTGAGTTTTGGTTAGTTAGTGCCTGCCGGCTTCAAACAACTGAGGTGTTCTCAGACTTGGCGTGTTCCAGTTTGTTACTTTACGTGTAGGATGTCTTGTTGTGTTTCCTCGTTGAATCAGGGAAATTGCAAACTGCTCGCGAGTTGATATCACTGGGTTGCCAGCGATGCCCGAAAAGCGAGGACGTTTGGCTGGAGGCCGCCCGGCTTGAGAAGCCCCGCAATGCGAAGGCAGTTCTTGCGAAGGCAGTCTCTGTGCTGCCACATTCGGTAGGCGTAAACTGTCATTTCTTTCTTTGACCTGAAGCACCGGTGTCGCGGGCCGATAGGGCTCATGATTGTACATTTCTCCCACCGCCATTTTCACGTCACCGATGCTTAGTTGGCCCTCGTATGCTGTGTGGGAACAGGTTCGCCTGTGGCTGGATGCCTATGCGAGGGAAAAGGACCTGAACGATAGGCGTTTAGTGCTACGCAAGGCTCTGGAGTTTATTCCAAATTCTGTGCGACTTTGGAAAGAAGCATGCAGCTTAGAAGATGAGCGGAACGCCCGGATTCTGCTGACTCGGGCTGTTGAGTGTGTCCCGCAGTCTCATGAGATGTGGCTGGCTTTGGCCCGACTCAGTACTTACGAGGAAGCTCAAAAAGTTTTGAATGAAGCGCGCAAAAAGTGCCCGACCTCTCCCGAAATATGGGTGGCTGCTTGCAAACTGGAGGAAACTCAAGGGAACGAAAAAATGGTTCAGGTCATTATTGGGAGGGCTGTGGAGAACTTAATTGGCCGAGGGGTTGCTCAAACTAGAGACGTATGGCTGAAGCTGGCAGAAGAAGCTGAGACTTCTGGGTTTCTAACGACTGCTCAGGCAATTATCAAGGCAACCATGAAGGTTGGAGTGGAGGGTATCAATCCAAAGCGTGTTTGGAGTGAGGACGCAGAGGAATGCCTCAGCAGGGGCTCCATAACTGTGGCAAGGGCTTTGTATACCCATGCTCTGGAGCGACTGAAAACGAAAAAGAGTTTATGGTTGGCACTTGCCGACCTTGAGACGAAGCATGGCACTCGGGACGCTCTAGAAAAGGTTCTACAGAAAGCTGTCACGTGCTGCCCGAAGGCAGATGTGTTGTGGTTAATGGCAGCAAAACAGCAGTGGCTTAAGGGAGATATCAACGCTGCACGCCGCATTTTGGCTGAGGCATTTTCTCACAACGAGAACAGCGAGGCAATTTCTCTTGCTGCTGTCAAGTTGGAGAGGGAGAACAATGAATTTGCACGTGCCAGGAAGCTCCTTAAACGGACCCGGCAGAACATCAACACAGCGAACGTCTGGATGCAGTCAATTCAGCTCGAGCGGCAACTGGGTGACTATGATGCTGCCATTGCCCTGGCAGATGAGGCGGTCAAAAAGCATCAGACCTTTGCTAAGTTGTGGATGGTTCGGGGACAACTGCACGAGGAGCACCCAACCCACAAGGACCTGGCGAAGGCCATTGACGTCTTTCGTGAAGGCACTGTGTGCTGCCCGCGTAGCGTACCGCTGTGGCTATGTTGGGTGAATTGCGAGAGGAGCCAGAAGAACTGGAACCGGGCACGTGCAGTGTTGGAAAAGGCGAAACTACGCGTCCCAAACAGTCCAGAGCTCTGGCTGGCGCTCGTTCAAGTCGAGATTGAGTCAGGAAATCGAGAGGTTGCGCAGCATGTTGCATCAAAGGCTATTCAGGCGTGTCCTAATGCAGGCATTATCTGGGCGGAGGCAATTTTCCTTGAGGATGATAAAGCCCAAGTAGGTGGATTGTGACTGTGTGTACACACTTGCGCATCTGTGGCTTGTTGATGTATCTCGCAACTTCAGTAATTGCTAATAAAGTCATTCTGCTGGGAACAGATGGCTTATTCACGGTCTCAAAGCGCATGCGACGTCCGCGGCATTTCAGGGAATATTATATGTGCCCGACAGCGGCTTACTGCCTACACGTGTGTTAATACTTGCAATTTTCTCGAACGCCTTTGCGTGCTTCAGACGCATAGAGCAGTGGACGCCCTCACCAAGTGCGAGAACGATGCGAACGTGATCCACGCAGTTGCTCGTTTGTTCTGGAAGGACCAGAAGATTGCAAAGGCCCGCAAGTGGATGAACCGCAGTGTCACCCTGGACCCCTCGTTGGGCGACGCATGGGCATCGTTTCTAGCGTTCGAGATCGAAAATGGAGGCGAAAAGGAGTGCATTGATGTCATTAATCGATGCGCTATCGCACAGCCAAACAGAGGTCTGACTGTTGTCCCTCCACACCTAGTTCTACATGTAGGCTTAGGTAGACTGCCGATCAAGGTGGTTCGAAGGAGGCGAACAGGCGAGGACTGGGACAGAAGCTTGTCAGCATGAACGTGCTTTATCTAGTCTACGGTTCATGGGTGCGTGTGTGCAGGCCTTGCGTGGAACAAGACCACCAAACAAGTTAGGTGTTGGTCTTTTTCACCAGCCCAGGTAACATACGCATCCTGAAGTGCAGCAGCGTTCGACACAGTGAAATATCCTGTACAGACGTTTCCAGTGAACCGAAAAGGAAAGAAACCTCTTTCCTGGCCAGTAGCCCTGTGCATATAACCAAGTCACGAATAATCCTGCCGAACAATGCTGCCATGTTATTCAACTTATGGAATATTCTTAGGTCTTCTGGGTGTCTTCAGAAACTCAATGCCGTGCTGAACTACATGTATCCCAACGCTTTGGAGAAGCAAGGCATATCCCAGGGTAGGCGATAGCCAAAAAATGCACTAGCAAGTTGGAATTTCGTCGGGATCGCCGCCAGTTATAGTTCGTCTCATTATGGCCGTTGAAACATTCTTTTCGTATCCAAAGTCGGCGTTGCTTCTTATGAGGTGTGCGGTTGGTCTTGGTTGTTGCCCAGGAAAAATTGTTGCGTATGTGTAGGGTTTGCCTGGTTCCTATGCTGCAGTGGTGCTGGATGCATTGCATGGGAAGCTGCAAAATGAACAGCAAACACCGACAACTGCAGGAACTTCTGCGGCCTCGGCTTTAACCTCCTCTGCATCTGTGTCGAGTCCGGCTATGGGGCAACGGGGACAGAGCGACAGCAATAAAGACCAGAAACTGGGTGACTCCTCAGCTCCAGGCGAAACGGGCAAGGTGCGTCATTGTTGCAGTGTGCAGGTTATACGAAAAAGCGGTGTCGATGCTTCCTATTGTGCACTGCTACACCTCCGCTGTTCCAAAATTACTAGATGCGTCAGGTATGCCCGTGGAATATTTGTGTGCAGCCAAAGGCTGATCTACCTCCACAAAAGCTACCGCGTGGTGCTAATGCTGAAGACGTAGGCGCCGCCAAGGACCAATAGTGGTTTTGGGGGCGGCGTCACTTTGCGTAGAAGCAGCCACTAGGAGAGCCATGCCCTATGCCGTCGTGCGGCGCTGTTACCGTGCCGACATTCCGAGATTGTGAAGAGTGGGTGTCCGGCGAGCTTACCCTTCAATGTTTTGCTATCCACATTTTGCGATTTCGGCGACGAAGAAAGTGACTGCGGTGCAACGGAAGGATGAGCCCTTATACGCGTCTTCATTGGCCGCTCAGTCCGTCGAGCGTAGCCGAGTATTTGCCTTGGCAGTTTACAAGTGACAGTGCCCGGCATCAAACGGTGATATCCACGAATTTATGGCTCTCTGAGCGTTGCAGTTTGCAATCCGTGTTGGCAGATGCGCCTTCAACTGTATCACGTATTTTGCATTGGGAACCTCCAGTACTGCCACATGCAGCGCGTCAAACTTTTTGTACGAGAATGTCTGCCAGTTGAAATGCCCCCTCGGTGTGTGGGCGGGCCATCAGCAGCAAGCAGCAAGCCCGCTAAATGAAACCGAAAGCACCACTTATCGCTACAAGGTTGCATATAGTGGAAGACTGTAGCCATGGTGCCGCTGGCGGTGTATTAACTCCGTAGTGGTCACACAGCAATTTCGGCTGAGCGAAGTTAGCATAACGGCAGGCCGTCCGCCTTTGCTTGCAACGTAATCACACTACTGCAGCGCAGTGCGTACTCCGCCTCACACTGTCAGTTGCACTGTTCACCGATAATGCAAACCTGCACATAGAGCAAACGGCCATCCAACTTGCCTCTAAGAGATTCCACATTCTGTGGAATGAAATCAGTGGAAACGTATGACGTCAGAGTCGCCACCATCGAGTTCCTCCGAACGTGCTGACTTCTGAGATCTGCAAGATGGTCCCGTCCGAGCAGAATTCGTCTCTGAGATGTTATCAGGTAGCCTAATGATACGCCAGACTTGACGCGGAGAAACGGAAACCGTGTGTCTCGCTTCAGCTGTGTGCGAACGAGCGCCTGGGCGTCTCCCATCATGGGGTAAAGGAGGAGATGAGTCAGGGCTTGCAGGACAGTATCCCTTGAGGGCACCACATATTCTCTTTGTCCATAAGCGGAGCGTGCAACTTCGATTCGCATGATAAATGCAGCTGCCCTGAAAAGCAACAATACAGCGGTCAGCTCTGAAGGTCAACGAAGACCCTGACAGCGGTGCTGCCGAGTTGCTGGCAAGCCACTGCGTGTTGTGCAGATCAGTTCAATTACCTTAGGAAGGAAGACAGTGGCAGTTGCAACGGTGGCAACGACGTAATTCCCACGAATACTGCCGTGTTGTGCCTCTCGAAGAGCTTGAAGTATCCGAGGTCCGAATCTCCTTCAGCCAAAAGTGTATCGTAGCTGCTGGCTAGGGCCCCAGATAGCAGCCGTGTACTTGTGTTGCGTTCGATTGCGGCCACATAAGCAAGCTCATTCCTAACTCGCGATCGCAGCTCGAGCAATTCGAAAGGGCCGGTTGCATCAAATGACAAAAACGAAACGATGGCGGTGCCTAACTGAGAAAGCCAGCCCAAATTCATCTCGTTGCCTTTAAATTCGGCCACTGCATGACAAAAAACGAAGCCCGTTCAACACGCAGCAAACATGGAACTGGAAGACGTATTGCCGCAGGCTTACTGAAGTACGCGAATCTTGCATGGGGCAAATCCTGACGTGTTACCTCACACCTACACGCAGCTTAGCGATGCCTTGTTACATGGAGGAAACATCCCTTGCGATGTGCCTAGATGCTGTCGGGGAGGAAGCTTGGTTAACTACCTCACTATGCACCTCTGGTGTCGGGTGTTGACTCACGCGGGGTCTGGCCGACATAGGCGATAAGAACCTTCTGGTCGTTGCTCGTGATGCTGAAGTCTGATGCCTTAAGGTGTGTCAGACGTCGAGTGAAGTGAAAACCAAAATGTTTCGCCGACGTTACAACAGCAGGCTCAGTTGAAGCAAAAACCGAAACCGGCGAGACAGCCATTCCAGCAACATTGGTTGATGCGACAACAATGCGTGTCAATAGTTGACTAATTGAAATTACGGAGTACTGAGATAAGCCTGGCTCCTTAAACAATGGCTCCACTGCAGCCTGAATCGTTCGCACTGACGGCTGAAGCTGCAGTCGACTAGAGCCCCCAGGATACCTCGTGTCTTGCTCGTCCACATGCACAAACGCAGGGTAGCTGAGCAACAAAACAAATAGACAGAGACAGTCACAATTATGTGTTTCTGCTCAACACTATGGACAGTCTTGTGAAGGCCAGATAACGGGGCATATGCATCTAGATGCTGGAAAGCTCCTCCGTTTGTCATCATAAATAAGGCTTCTCCATAACTTAACGGTTCAAAACTCTAGCTTGAAATGCCGAATGTAACATCGATCTCCACCGAAAGCAATTTTGAAGTACTGATCCACGGAAACGTTGTGAAATGTGAAACAACACAGCTCCGGGAGTGTCTATGATTTGATCTTACATGGCCCAAGATGAGTTTAGCGATGAGATGGCCTCGATTATTTTGCTGATCCAACCGCCCGCTGTGGTGATCCCCGGATTAGTTGGGTCCCTTGCCTTACTGACATCAATGACAGCAACTCCCTTTGAACTGAGTTGCTCGGTGCAGTCCTCGATGATTGACTGAAAGTAAAGCTCTTCCATTCTCGAGTTCTTCACGAAACGCGTGAACTCCGTTTCCTTGACGGACATTGCAGCTCCTGCAGCACTAGCGTAGCTGTCCATCTGAATGCGCATTTCCTCCATTGCCCTTTCGGACATTCTGATGGAATGGGCAGTTAGTTCTTTATCCCAGTGCTGTACGCGGTCCACGATTTTATCATACGCGTCGCACAGCTGCGCAACAATCAACTCGCACGCAGGTGACTACCTTCTTTATAAACCAGCAACACGCTCATAGAACAGCTACGCATTTACAACGGTGCCTGGCTTTTAGGTGCAACCACAAGATGACGGGACCATTTTTCAAAACTCACCCCCGCCCTAGACATACTGGCCCTGCATCTAGCTTCAGTTTCGTGCAAGTTAAACGTTTTGCGTCAGCATTAGGTCGTTGGTCGCTTCGGTGTTCTCACCTGTTTGTACTTCTTTTCCATGAGCTCCACTCGATGAGTGCTGAGTGCCATTTCAGCGCCATACTCGCGAGCCAGCAGAACTCGCTCCTTAGGCGTGGATTTCAGGCGACTGGCGAATGCCCCAAATTCCTCCAATGCAATAACAGACACCATGCGTACAGCGTCGCTCACCCGCATCCGTAGCTTCCCAAGCCGCTCCCTGGTGACCCCTGCATCCAACACTAACAGTGCATAGACCTTCTGCAGTCACTAGGCAGCACCGTCAACTATTAGCACCGACAGCAAGCCGTGCCGGAGGCCAGACAGATGCCTGACGGGGCATTGCATATTGAGGAGATCAGAACTGGCTTATATCGGATACCTGTACTCAACGGAACAGCTATGTCTCAAGAGTAGGTGTTAATTGTGCTTGTCATTCCGTGACACTAGGCACCAACCACTATTGTGCGAGTACATATTCTGAATGTGCCTAGACAGAATTGCATGACGTCCTCGCTGTCAGCCGTCTCGGCATCTATCCCAGGTGTGACAATCTGCGCAGAGCACATAATCTTCTGCACCTTCTCACCGGCGTTCTGGATGGCGGTTGAGCTTATTAGCTCCAGCAGTTCGCGATACTGCCACCTGAACATGGCAATCTTCCGCTTGAGTCCGTTTATAACTCTCTCTATGGCATCAGTCTGCTGCTTTCCAAACTCCAACGAATTTAGGGGTATATGAGCCAGCTCCTTCATGAGGTCATGGTCCTTCTCTACAGTCGACCACATCTCGTCCTCTGCATGCTCAAGGCGCTTCACTAAGTCGGCTGTAACACCACAATATGCAGCACAGCACATACGGACAGCAGCGGCTCTAATTAGCCAAATAAAAGAGGTTCCTGGGTTGGCTCTTCAGCGCGACGGACGCTGGTCTGCACCCTTTCTCAGTCACCAGCGGCGTGTATTCACTGAAGTAAGCGCACACCATGCGCTCCCTCCCCTAGTACCTCTTTGAAGTTACTAGCACTTGCCCTGAAGCGAGCAACTAGCGTTTGCTAATTAACTGGTTTCACAATCGAAACTCTGTGTCATAACGTGCGAACCGATTATGCACTCTACGGCACTGGTTCAACTAAAGGAGTAATTACGACTTACCGAGTTCGGTGACCGATGTCTCGCCAAGCCTGTTTTGAGGGTCCAACATGAGGTTCGAAGTTAAGAGTGGAGCCATGTGTGGTGCCTGTGATACCGCAAGCAGCACATGTAGGTATTATTCTCAGGGAAATTCGCGTGCTTGGCAGTTCCCCCACGTAGGCGTCTCGACTCTCCTTTAACTCCACCCACAATAAGGTATACACTAGCCATAACGGCATCGCAGTCATTCCCCTGGCTTCTTAGTCAAGAGAGCTAAACATGGTAAGGATAGTCTGTGCGCACCACATCGTCAAAAGTCGAAGAATCGCCTGACTCCGACGAATCCTCTTGATCTTCTGCAGCCCATACGAAGGCTATAGTGAAATGGGCCATAAGGCAGAAGAGCTTTGTGCGCCAGGCGCAAAGTGGGCGACCTCTGTTGAACGCCATTTCTCGTCTCAACATGAACAAGTGAACTTCTCCCCGTTGCAAGCCCGAGACAGCTGAAGCAGCTACCCCCACGTCTCAAATGCCCTCAATCTCATTACGCCAAATTGCACTGTCAGCTCGCGAAATACTCGCCGGTCTCGAAACTTGACAAGATCTCGTCCTCAGTCTGCTGAAGCCCATCTTGCACTCATGAAGTGGAACGGGAGATGAGTGGGGGCCATACGTTAACCTAAACCTCCACAAAGAAAGTGCAAAGCTTCATCGTTCTTGAGCGGTTCTTTGAAGAGATGCTTTAGCCGCGACTCTGACGAATGCTAAGTAGGGTTGTGAGATACGTCAGCTGGGACTCCTCGGCTTTGAGAAGCACGAGCGCCCAATCACAAATAGTAGAAATTTCTCGCCATTCTTATAAGTTCGAAAAGGCTGAAGCATGCAGGAACAATAAAAATGAAACCTATGGCGGTTTGGAGGAATGGAACAGCGTATCGATCGTGGGCACGGGGGCTCCCCAGCGACTTGGGCCTGATGCTGGTGTGCCGACGGTGGGTAGCACACAACAAAATAAGAAGTGAACATACGAGAGAGCCTCTATAGATATAATAACAGCGATTGAATATAAAAACACCGACCCATATTGACTTCTGCAGCGCGGACCTCTTCCTTCATGATCACCACTAGACAGTGACTGGAGTTCCCGGCTACGTTCAAGTTCGCGACTACAATTCTGTCTTAGACTTTAATGTTTTCCCGCATACTCGTTTCTCATATTTCCAACGGGTTAAAGGCTAGCACGTCTCATCTTTCACAGTTGCCGCGAATTGTGCCCGTGTAAACCCGCCTGGAGGCATTGCTTCCCACGCATCCACAGGAGATGGTTTCATTCTTTTCCTTTTCGCACGACCGTATCCCTGCCATGGCCCTATCTGTAAAGGGCTCTTGACACAGACGCGGAATTTTCAGGACTACATCGCTCACTAGTTACCCGTCCTCAAACTTGACACATGCCCAGTGAAGGGAGACATTCACTCAAATTCCTGACTGCCGAGCCTTGCTGTAGGGCATTAACTGTAACTCTGTAGAGTCGTCGCTCTGCAAACTGTCCCCTTCAGACCGCAATCGCTAACGTGCTAAGTACGGTGGTTAAGTACGGTGCTCTGTGGAACTCCTGAGAGGCAGTACGCCTATAGAGCAACAATTCCAAGGAATCAAGGGGCGTTGCAGCTGATGGGGCTTTCCATACCCAGTATGCGATTCATCCTCGATCTTTACGTACGGCGTGCCCTTCTCTATCGCTGTACATTATTGCCTGTCAAAGGGGGGTGTAACGAGGAATAGCAGTGTGCCTGGAGAGAATCGTGTTCGGGTATAGAGCCAGCCTTATTTTTGCTAAACAGCGATATACTACAGGTTCCGAAGGCTGAAGGCCAACTCGTTACCTGCTGGCAATCCTCCCCACGGGACAAGTCAGAAGTGTTGGGACCCAGATCAGACAATGTAGTTAATATTGTGTGCTGGTGCCCAGATGCTACGCGCCATGCTTTTTTCAGGAGCGCATATCAGTTCCGCTATCTAGAAGAGCATCTGGAAGTCGTGCGGTATTCGCGCCCGACTCAAGAGCCCACTTAAACGCATCTTCATTAGCGCAGCCGCTTTTACACAGACAGGCACGCATACAAAATTTTGCGGCTGTCCTGGATTGACAAGCATCTCTCCGCAACCACAAGAACACTCGGCTATGCGGAAGGATGCTGTGCCATTGTGCCACCCCATGCTTTTGGCGCCCTCCTACAAACCAAGAAATGACTATACACTGTCGTTCATAGCGGCCACTGCATCTCATTCCTTGTTTAGTTCAACTAGTGTCCCGTCTAGAATCTCCCGGAAGAAGTCCCTCATCTGCAGCAATTCACCGCATTACACAGCCACGTCAGATAAACCTTTCGGTAGAGCGAAACGAAGGACTTAATGGAGGAGCCCTATCAACTGCAGCTCGCTGGAAAGATGCAGAAACATACTTCGTTAAACTCCTGGCGAACGCCTTCATCCAGCCCCGACAAAGTAGCAGCTCGGTGTAATGTACCCTCGGCCCTTGCCATGTTGCTGCTTAGCTCCGCCAGTTGTTTCTCAGCTGCGTCCAGCTGACTACGGAGCTTCTGCAGTTCCGCATCTTTGGCCTTGCATTCTTTCAGTGCCTGAACCACCTTCGAGGAGCTGTCTTCGAGCTGGGCACGAAGTGATACATTATCGGCTTCAAGCTGCCGCATATTTTCCTCCAACTCCCCCGACTGCAAAAGAGAGACACTCAATGAGCAGCCCATGCATGCGCAAGCCGTTTCAGCGCAGGCCATCCGCACAAGAGCATGACCTCGCGATTTCTACGCCGTGAATTGGAGTCAAAAACGAATTAACACTGTCCGCAGAGTTCAAATATGCTGCTTAGCCAGTCAGGCTCAATCCCTTACGCTGGTGCTGGAACTCTGCTTCGCTGATTCTTGTACTTGGCTCTGCGTCGCATGACAAGCAGAAGTTAGGCTGAGACGGTGTCCCGTTTCTGACCCCAGTCGTCCCCCGTATTGCAAAAGCACCATTCAGTTACTGGCCCTTGTCGGGACGCGAAGCTATTCAGTAGACCGGTCAGCATGAGTGCGCTTCGTTCAAGGGAGATAGCAGTGCACATACTGGAGCACATTGGGACGGCATGCAAAAGTAGAACTAATATTCACCTCAAGAGCTTTAATCTTGGCCTCCTGCTGCTTCACCTTCGCCTCCAGCTGGGACACACAAACAAAAGCGGCTCAGTCCTATCAATAAACTTTTCAAGAAGCTCTTTAAGAAACCCCCCACACAAGGAGTCCGCTGTAAAAAACGTTATTTGGAAAAGCAAGCATGGCGGTTCGGAAACAGGCGATACTGTCCTGTTTTACAGGTTCAAGTTCCTTGATACGAGCTTGTAGTTGGTGAATCTGCGTTTCCTGTGACTTGTTGACGGCGTCGAGCTGTGACACACGCCCACACAGATTCAGAAGCCGCTTCACATAAGCCCTGAATATTTTCGAATCCCTACGCCCTGAACCCTAATCCATGGAACTAATCCCACTCCGTACGCTCTCAGCAACAAGACCGAGCACCTCCTCTCGCCCCGTCACCACCATGCATGCAGTGAACTGTTGGTGCCGCACCACCTGGTGCAAAACGCCTCACTCTCTTCGTCTCGTCTTGGGCCTTCTCTACAGTCTTTTGCAACACAGACGGCGCCTGCTCAGAAACGCTTCTGACAGATTCAAGCCTCCGAACTCCTCCTGCTTGGGTTACGCGACTCTTCGCAGCCCCTTTGAACTGCGGAGTGTTTCCTGAAAAGTCGAATCACGCTGGGTGCGATGGGGGAGCATAGGCTATCAGACTCGCAGCGTAAGCAACTAACACAGTGAAAGGCGACTCGGCGAAATCATATAGGACGTAACTCGCAGGGGAAACTTACCAGGCTGGTGCACAATCCGCTTGACTTCTCCATTCTTCCCGGACAGCCACTCAGCTGCAGTCTGCGGATGCATAAAGAACGACACCTGTCTTTGGGCACTGCATGAAGAGTGTCATGAAGCGAGCTAGCCGCTATCAGGCTCTTCTCATAAGCAGACAACCTGTAAAATTTTGAGGTGCAGCACTGTTGAAGTACATGTTTCACCAACCTCCCAGTAATATTTAGTCTTACCAGGGCTGCATCGACGCCAGGAGTAGGCGGGTATAGGTCAGCCTGAAACACGTCCATGTTCTTTCGGGGGACAATAAATGAAACGGGAAGAAGGACCTTTCCATTCTCGTTCTTGAGCATCCGCCCTACCTCCGCCCGCTTCTGGTCAACAGCCCTTCAACAATACACAAGTTCGCACAGAGCGACTGATAACCATCAATGACGTCGCCGGATGAACACAGAAACCTGCTTCTGGTGTGTGCACTAGAATGCGTTTGTCTACAGAGCCGACGAGTCCAGTTCGCTGGCTGACGTCGCAGTCGGAAGCACTGCAATAGCCGAGTAAGGAGCTGAGGCAACACTGCCTAGGGAACAAACATTAGCTTACAGCTTTGGAATGAAACAGAAAGACTTGATGGGGACGTTCGATCGGTACTCGTCAACACGACGAAGTTCTCCCCCACATAACTGGAAGTACCGTAGGTTGCCGTCGCCCTGAGAGTGCGTGAGACAAACTAGGAGGTGCTTTTGCACAACGTGGTGAAATAGGTGGCACCGTAGCGCCGCCCTTGGCAGCACAATGATATAAACTCAGGACTCCAGCCGAAGGCAGAAAAAGCGGTTGTCTGAGCAGAGGGCCCATAGTGGAGCTAAATAGCAGTACCAACCAGCATGTATTAAAAGCTTTCCCTACCTTGCCTGCCACATAGAGCATCCCGAGGGTTTCGTCGAAGATTGGATACAATGGCTGCGAACCACGGTCAATTTCCACGCGAACAAGCCTGATGAGAGTCAACCGCACAAAGTGTCGAAGCAGTTCCCTCAAGCTACAAATATAACTCGATGTGCACTGTGGTAGCCACGCTAATCTTACCCATTAAACTGCAAAAAACGCTCAAGCCCGAGAACAAAAGGTATGCACGAAATGTATGCGCGTGCGGGCACATTCAATGCATCTCTGCATCGCTAATGGTACACCTCCCCCTCTTACGGCTTGGTTATGTTCTTGACGTCCCACAGGTGTAACTCCCTAACGTTAGTCTTGCTACTTCCAGTAGTGAGCACATGGCCAGCGGCGCCAGCGAATCCATCGACCCAACAGCATTTAGTTGCTTTGGGGCCCTCGTGGCAGGTGACTGAGGCCACAACGTTCTTTGCTCGGGGGTCAATTATGCTGAGGGCTTTATCTTTGCTTGTTGTAGCGAGTTTGTCTCTGTTTTACACAGACATGGCAAAATGCGCGGAAGAAATTTGAAGGCTTTCCCCCGACGTGGGGAAAAGCAATGCGAAGCGCAACTACAACACAGAAAGTTAGTGGAGACCAGCTAGCCTAGCCGCTGAAACTCTGACCCGCAGTTGCTCCATTTAACAGAAAGAACCGAGTCGCTCAGCGAGATCGAATTGACTAAGGACGCTGAATCGACGTCCCTGAGGCATTCAAAGAAACACACGAGAAAGCCCGTCCCCAAACTCGTTACTGATGTTTTTTTAATTATACTATATATCACTGAATAGGGGGCGCCTCCTGCTGGTGTTTGCCGTGGTGGCCAAATAATCCTTGCAATTTAATGCCCCCGAAGGGCGGGAAGAGTCAAGAGCTCGGCAGTAGATGTTCACCGACTATTTCACTAAACAGCACTATTTCAAGTTTGTGATCTCCATTCCCTTTGCTGTACAGGAGAAACACGCCACTCGAGGAAAACACGTCGTTTCGGCCACTACTTACCAAAGCGCAACGGTCCCGTCGAAGCAACCCGATGCAAGGATAAAATCCGCTACAGGGTTCCATTCTGTAGCGATTACTTTCTTGGCAGAGCCCGTCAGGATGGCTACGGGGTCCTTTAGCTCGTGCCCAGGAGGCGGATCGCTGGGGACGTCCCAAATGCGGATCGTCATGTCTGCACAAAAACCTCCCATGAACAGAGTGGTCTATTGGATCTCCGCCACCAGAATTAGAGCCCCCTCAAGAGACTATGAGCGAACAACCCCCAACACTAAATCCACGCTCGGCTGGCCTTCGGCCGGCGCAGAGGGGAACTGCAGTGGCCTAGTATCTCTAGTAGAGTGTTGAAAAAATCCCGTGTAGCCGCATGCTCCACGTTGGGCAAGCATGCAGTAGGAAGAGCGTGAGGGGCACTTGACGCCCCAGCGTGGCTGACGGACCCTCTGATCCAGAGGCAAGAATCGACTCATAGAAAGGGCTGAATGCCAGGTCTTGTATAGATCCAGTGTGTCCCTTTATCTTCGTCACGGGAGGGTTACGGCCACAGTCCGCTAGGTTAATGAGGCCCATCATACCTCCCCCACCGACATCCCATGGGGCCTGTTTCCAATGTGGAATGCACAGTACATGTGTGTCTCTGGGTGATCAATGGGGCAAGCACAATTATCAGGTTTACGCCATGTATCTCCTTGAGACTAATGAGTTCTTTAAGAACAGACTCTGAGATAGATTACGCCCCGTCCCCAAACTACATTTCATTCCCCAGCCTTCACTATTCATGTAAATTAAATGAAACCTTCTAAGCTACAAGAGTGAGGGATAGTTACAGGAAATGCTCGGCCTGTCGCTACTTACCGCAACATATCGATAGCTGCAGGCCATTCCGACGGACTCGGTCTGCTTGCTCGCCAAGCGGATGTCCGAGTAGGGGACCTTCCACGGCTCAGCTGAAAAGCAAGAAATGGCAAAGAAAGAAAATCTTTCCTCAACTGTGGCCTGAAAGTTGAGAAGAAAGGCTGATTCGAGAAAATATCTTCTAAAGCGGCAAACGAACGCGTAACGGAGGCTTAAAGAGAATAACTATTGAGATATAGCGAGGCTGCAACGATGCCCTCACTGTCAGCATCCCACAAAGAACTTACCGTAGCAATTCTTTATATGAATCCTCTCCGTAGCGTCCCCCATCTTCGCTCGTAGGTGCTACACCGTGTCGGTGACGCCCTGAAAAGAGAGCTCGTTCCCAAGGCTGCAGCCTTGATGTACGTAATAAAGCAGGTACTTCTATCAAATGAATCAACGCCACGTTCTGCACGCAAAGATGTGACATGGGAAACTGGCTTGCGATGTTCCCCGCGCATCCGTAATAAAGCAGCATTTGCAAGCAACTCCGTGGGGGCTCCCCATGGTGCCTTGGGGGTCTCGCGACAGATATGCAAACCACAAACCCCCCAAATAACGATGGGTACAGTGAGAATGGCCTAAGCAATCGAGTTCTTATGGACTAGATGGCAGAAAGTTTTCGATTCTCTCGGGACAGTCTGCTGGGTGCACTGTGCGGGTAATTTAGCCATGTGAGTTCGATGAAGACGTCAGCAGTGACGATTCACAAAGGGGCAGCTCAGCTGGAGCCGTCACAGACGGATGTGTCCCGCTTCCACTCGAAGCATCATCAAGTCAAACGGAGTCATGCATTTGCTGCTGCGAGCTGCGACACCCGAGCTGGACCCCGTTCAGTCTTTCCCAACAAACACTTATATAGAGCTGGAAACTCACAGGATTTGATATACCAGGTTCTGGCACCTTCAAACCGCATATAAAATATATGTGAACCAATGGGCCTGGGCCTCGCGGACTGGCAGTAGCCAGGTGAAGTACCACTCTAGGGAGCTCTGCTTCGGCGCCGAACCCTCCCCAATATCCAAATATTTCCCGATTTACAAATAAGTTTACATGTGTCTTTACGCAAGGTGCACCTAAGTTAAGAAGGAAACCCAGACTGCGCCTTTGGCCGCAGGGCCCTGGGCCCCTCCCAAGCCACAGCTAGCAACACCTGACCTTGAGCCACTATGGGTTGCTGCTTCGGGTGGGTGGTGGGTAAGGGCTGGCGACTGCATGTTGCGGTAGGCATCAACCTCTTCACGCTTCCTTAAAATTGTTCCCTTGGAAATATATGCTTTTAAACGGCTTGCTAGTCAAAAAGAAACGCAGCTGTCATAACCAGACCCCAGCTTCTGTTCCCTACGGGAGGGGAGGGGGGGGAAGGACAGAGGGGGCCCCTACTCCCAGGTGCTGGTACACGTTTCATTCGCCAGTTTGCTGTGTATAAAATTTCTTGTTGAACAATACACATCATTCACATTATCCTATAAATAGGTGCTTTGGGCCTGTGCGCAGGCTTCTCACGTTGCGTGTGCGCGCGGCACTTCGTCTTTGTGCCACCTCACTGTGGCGGGTAGAGGGAACAGAACGAGGCGGCTATGAAGAGCTGCTTCTTTGTGCACTCTTCTCATATATACAGGGCGGGTGGTGACAGGTTCTTTTTTTCGAAGCCTAAAATACGCTGAAATGGGCCCACGGGCGGCCTCTCATTGTCTCATCTACACAGACAAGTGTTTGTCTTGGACGTAGGCACAGAACGGTGTTGGCCTGATTTCCACCTTGGTTTTCTCATCGTACCGAGCTAGAAGAAAGACGCATATAAAATGGCAACGACCGATGGACCTTCAGAAGCCGGTCCTGCATGCAGCGGCCGTTCCGCAAACCATGCGGGTGCGGGTGAAGTACGCCTGCCGTGTCACCGTCCTAAAATCCCTCCCGTGTCAGTGGGGAGATTCCAACGGCCCCTTGCCAATTTGGAGGCTCTTGGTGAACAGAGAGAGCTGCATGCGAAGGGTTCAGACACCGCAAGTGCATCGCACTCGATTGGGTTGCTGTCTTTGTCAAAGGATGTCCGCTGGCCCCCACTGTTTCCCCAACAAAACGAATCAAAGTCGTCATTCTGGCAGGAGGACGGGTCTTTCAGCTGTGACTGGGGAGCCCTAAGGGCAGGCGAAGCGTTTTGTTCCTCCGTAAATGCGTGCTGTGTGTCCTGTCTTTCCCGGGCCCTCGGAGGCCCCTCCGAGCTAACCTCCGCTTTGCTGGAGAAGCTTCGCACAGGGGCAAAGACGGCTATCCAGGAAGAAGTTAGTCATCTCATTCAGACAGTCAAGGCCTCAGCTGCGGCCGGTGCAGACCTTCGAGGGCAAGACGGCAGCGGCGTATCAGATGCTTCGGAGGATTTGACGCAGCAGCTTCTCAAGCACCCGGCATTGCAAGCCGTGGCGTTTCTAAGCGTACACGAACGCCGCCTGGCTGTATTTGAGGTTCGTAGCGCTCCCCGTCCCTGCCAGCTACGGTCTTGTAAGAACGTGCTGGGACTGGTCCTGCGCTTCGCATGGGTTGCTCCTGTTCTGGCAATCTCGTACCTGTTTGGGTGTGGCTTGGCCCGTTCTCAGATGTGGCTGGACCGGTGGCAAGTTCTCTCTCGAAGCTACCAGTGTACATGTGGCAGTGCACAGGCGACGAGCGCTGGATTGAATAGAATTGCTTCAGGTTCTGCAAGCGCCAACGGTGAGCTGCTCCTTGATTCGGAATCCCGTGCGTGCACACAGTACGTCTTCTGCAGCAAGCTGATACTATGGTACCTAGCCGTGCAAGAATCGCTGAACTGCTGTGCCGTGATTGTGTGGCTGCCGCATGGACGAAAAAAGCTGAGACGGATACAGCAGTTGAAGATCTCAGGGTTCAAGTTGCTCAACTACGTGAAGAGGCAGTCCGAGCGCACCAGGAAGAAGAGTCCGTTGTCGAAGAAGCCAGAGGTGTAAGCCAACACACACCAAGAGGCACACGAACCTATAATCTGAAACGCACCCGATACGGATGAAATGCGCGGTTGTAAAGCATGCTAAGCAGTCGTTTACAGCTAGCGAAGCACTTGCTTACACCTAGCAATTGTTGACAGCTATGCATAAGCGGGGCTAGATATATATCAAACAACCAACAGCCCTGGATGCATGCAGAGTGTTGGGTGCATGCCAGGTGTTAATTCGTCTGCTTCGTGTGATTGCAGTTATCAGTAGAGCTGATGAAAAAGCAGCAGCAGCTGCTTCTGGCTACTGAGAGAGTAAAAGCCCTTGAGAAGGTACGCCAAGACCCAACCTTCGGAATTGTTGAGCGTGCGCAGCAACAGCCGCCTGCATCTTCTGATGCAAAGAGCTCCAATTATAAGGAAAGCCTCAGCTTCATCGCCGACAAGTGCACCAAACTCGTGAGCGAGCCTACAGCCTCCACTCGTTAGTGCTACAGCAGGGATTTGATATCCTGTGCATGTAATTATTGGCAATCTATCAAGCTATCTTTCTCTCTACATTCAGGCTAACTTGACCCAGTTAATTCAACAGCAGTTCCCGCAGTCCCAGACAACGGGTTTGCTAAGACCCAGCTGGGAGCCAGGTCAAGCCGTCGCTGCAGCTGGCGAAGCACCTGACACCCCTGCCGATGGTGGTCTGCTTGGAGCTCTGCGGGAGCTGCAGACGCCTCACGTGTCGATGCATTCTCCCCATTCACTACGCGCTCGCCGCTCTTCTTATGTCGCTTCACCTGTCGAGCAAACGAAAAACCCTGGCGCAGCGCCTCGATTCCGGCAGCCACCTACAGGTGAAGAGGACGCCAGACCACGGGGACAAAAACGTGCACCTGCAGATGGCTGGAGAACCCATTCCCCCCTTCGACCCGGGAATCTGAGGGCCGTGGGGGAGCCGCAAGTCAGCTCGGTACGTGCAGTAATCCCCCCAATGACTTCTCCGGACAACCGCCACAGGAACAACGCCACCATGGAGCCAGGCAGCAACAAACGAACTCGGGATCCCGAGGAGGCAACACTCAGGGACGGCTGGAGGCGAGCACTTAATCCAGCAGTTCGGCACGCCGAGCTAGATATAGACGCCGAGGTCGCATGGCAACCTGTAGATCCCACAGCGAGAGAAGACCCAATGCAAGTATGTCTTTTGCATGCAAGAAGGGGTGATGCCAGCTATGTGTTGGAAATGTTCCAACGCCTGTTATATGCACATGTATAGACAAACATCCATAGCAGTTACGGGAGACGGGCATATGGGCTGTACTGGCAGGACAGATGCACACTAGCAAAGGCAACAACTGCTGCTTTTCCTTAGCACCTTTCCTGGCTCAGACGCAGTTGCAATTTGGTTGGCTCGCGCAGGAGGCCGTATGGGTGGACTCGTTCTTGCGGAGACGCCCCGAGGCGTCGTGAAGGATCAAGCCGAGTCGATTCCGTCTTACTGGAGCGCCGCATGTCCACACGGCGCCCCAGTAAGATGCATGCCTAGAAATATGCCAACTGTTTTACGCCGCAGCACAGCAGAGCGTCCCTCGGCCATGCGAAGTCTGTTAGTATGGACTTTCTAGTATATGAGCTGTTGATGACAGGGCTTGAAACTTGGAAGTCCTCGCTTGCGAAAGCAAAGCCCGAGGCATTTTACCTGCTGCGGCGGCACCGGGCCGGACCCGCCAACTGAGTTTTTAAATGAAGCGCAACTAGCTCTAACTCGGCAGAGCCCAGCGTCGGTACCTCTTTCACCGTCGCCTGACACTTATGCGACAGGAGAAATGCTCAGCAACCCAGGTTGCATGGCTGATAGCTGCACGCAGCCCGATGTGCCGCCAGCATGCTTCGCCCTGCAACCTCTCTGTTGAATCGCAAAACGAGATACTACTCTGATGCGCTCCTTTGACCTGGAAACTTTTTGCGGAACCAAGCGGCATTTCTAAAGCAACTGGTGAGAACAACCTTGGAGAGACCTAGTCAAGCAGTTCTTCATCCATGCTCCCTTCATCGCACATAAAGTCAGTCTCCTCCACGTCAAAAGCCTTTACAGACTGCAGCAAAAGCCGAACGCAGAGAGGGAAGATAATGCCCAATGCACGTTTTTGTGGTGATCTCCAATATCTGTGGGTTTCGATTGATGCATGTAGTCTAGAGGGATGTTCTGAACCAGATTAATTAAGATGGGCACCGAAAAGTGGCATTGTGCATACTTCGCACAAGGCAACCTTACATGACTCGTTTTGCACTATCCTCTTTGGCTTACCGGCTGCCAAATCTGTAGAACATTATCCTCAGAAGCAGATGCAATAACCTGTAGAACCCAAGGAAATGACGCACCTAACGAAACTGATACATACCCAGGTCCATGGGCGACAAATGGAGGAAACGAACGCAGCTGCTTTCTCACCCATGGAAACTTGTCCCCCAATGGGTTCCAGTCGATTTCCGTGATGCCCGCAACGTGGCCGCCGTGGACAAATATTACTTCAGGCGCGCCTTCCTCCGCTTCCTCCGGAGACTGCTCAGCGCCAATCAATGAACAATCAAAAATCCGAACAAAGCGGTCGGTCGTACCTGCAACAAGAACAAAATAAGGAAGGCAACTCAAACACCGTACCTCACAGCTTGCTGCGCCTATGGGCAAACCATAGCACATCTCAAAAGCGTCAGTGTACCTGCAGCGATCACTGCCTTGTTTTGTGGATGCCACCTGAGACTTGTTAGAGCTTCGTTTTCTAGGTAGAGCAGTCTGTGGGCTGGCCGGCGTAAGTCTCGGAAGTCCCACACGCTCACTCCCTACAAACAGCAAAAACGGAAACGCCAATGTACTACCTTTTCCTCACGCACCCTACAACGGGGAGATAAGTGGAACAGACAGAACTAGTGTAGGCAGCGTAAGCAAAAGCCTCAAGTTTCTCCGTAGCAGCTAGTCAAGCGGACCGCGTCAGCTCCTCCAGTGGCGAACACGTTCGGGGCCAAGGGATTCAGGGCCACCACGTTGGCGCATGAATGGTTACAGGGTTGCTGCAAAATAGACAGGAGAGAAAAGATAAAACTTGGCGCCAAACGCCTTTTAAGACTGCAAATATGCAAACGGCTCTTTTGCCCCTCCATCAAATTGTCAATGGAACCAGTCTGCGGCTACAGAGCTGCACTGCTGGCTTGCTTAGGAAATACGCACCCGGTGAACCGGCAACGTGCTCGCCCGCAAGTCCCACCTTGAAAGCACACGGAGCAAAAACGTAAAACTCGCTGGCAGTTGCATGACAACTCCAACCGTACGATGGGGTGAATTTACGGAATGTCGAAGGCTGACAAGCTGCTTAAGCAGGGCCAGCAAAGCGGTCTTACATGTTTAGCTCCCCATCGTCACCTACAGCCACAATTACCTCTCCCGCGCCATCTCCGCGTTTCCACGCCACGTCCTGCACACAAACGCGCTCAAGAGTACACTCGTCACGGAGGAGTGCAGCTATACATCACAGTTCCGCTCGCAAACAAAACCCGCCTAACTATGATGTGAAAGAAGCTGCCCCTACTTCTTTCATTCCGGAGCTCGCTGCTTACCTGCAGTGCTCTGCGGTCGCTTGATGCCACCAACCGGTGTACAGGACTTAAACGTTTATCTTTGCCATCTACGCCACCCACAACGCAAATTGATAACATCAAATTCGACTGATGCATAGCTCATACGAGATGTTTCTTCAATTTCGATACGCAACCCAGGATATCGATGAGACACCGGTTAGGCTGCAGTGCATTCCCCGCCAGCGCTAGGGGTAGCAGAACCATTCGTACTATAGGAGGCCAAACGGAGCAGCAGCAGGTGCAACTCACAGGATGCCCGCGTGTCCCAAATACAGACAAGGCCATCATCCCCTGACGAAGCGAGCCATCCTTCTCGTGTGGGACTCCATTCCAGGCCCCACCTGCAGAGAGTGCCACACGCACTCTATACAGCGTACAGGAAGCTCAGTCTAAGCAAACTGCTCATCCTCCGGCCGTCGTGTAGGGCTTTCGTCTCACCCTTGAGTCGAATGGCCCGTCAAAATAAGCTCCGCGTCGGTGGCCATTTGGCTTCGATGTGAAGCGCTGTGGCTGTCCTCAGACTCCGCGTCGGATATGCAGAACGCAGGGCCAAATTTGCATGAGTCAAAGAGATAAACTGCGCATACAGAGCCAACAGAAAACACCGCCTTACTTCTCAAACTTCTTAGAGCTGCTCTGCTGCAACCAGCAAACGTATGAAATCGCAACAACGATTGTGACAACGGAGAAATGTGCGAGATACAAATCCACCGAGCAACAGGAAACAGCTAAGACGTACCGCAGCCATCGTTAGCCTTGCTAGCTATAAGTGTGTCGTTGCCATGATAAACGCGAGCCCTGTAAAATACCAATGGCCATTCACATGGGCATTGAGTTCCGAGAAATAAAGGACCAATTAATAAAGTGTACAGCGGCCTTCCCGTAGCATGCCACAGTTAGGGTCTACTGAAATCTGAGTAGAAATACAGTCCATAATAATAATACCTGTTGCTTTCTCCTTCATGAGGGATTCGAGCGGTAATTGTGAACTTGCGGGTGTCCTCATCGCCAAATTCAAAGCCTTGGTAATCTGTTAGACAGCAGCAGTTCATTCGCACACCACGACGTCCTTCTATTTTACAGCTTGCAACCCCTGCTGTCTGTGCGGCATTTGGGTAATGAATGCAACAAAAGAAATTGAGCTTGCCTTGTCTTTGTTCGTAGTGAAGTCCAGAAGCCTCAATAGGTTCGGACGGCAAGCTAACCTGCAACGCAGAAGAGAATGGCAATAAACGCCATGAGGGCACTGCATTGCAGCAGAGTGCGAACTGCCTGACGGGCTGCGTTTGTATACTAGCAACGCCAAGGTACCTCCATGAGTAGCAAATAATTTGCCGCGCCGCCACTTGTGTGAGTCGAAAGCAGTAGTGTCTGGCCAATTTCGCCGTTTGAGCGCCTGTAAGAGAATACGCAAATCAGCTCTGCGTGTAGAGTTCGTTGAGGGCAAAAGTGCAGTTCGCCGCGGACCCAGATGAACGGAGAGGTAGCAACAGAGACAACCCCGAGATATTCCGGGGAAAAGAAAGACAAAAAGTGCAGCAGTCTAATCAACGCTGTGCAGAAGACGTACGGATTGGAAGAGTGCAGCCACTGGACAGACAGAGTCGGCCACTCTAAGATATGCGACATGATGTGCCGGTACAGCAGCATGCAGTTGCTTTGCCAGTTTCGGTGGCTGACACGCAACGAAGTTGTGGGCGTGCCCGAAGAAGACTGCGGCGCCGCTACCGTCGGCAGTGTCTGAGGTTCCTCTTTGCTCATGGAGGTCCCCGCAGGAAGTTGAGAGTTCTTCGGTCCAGTGGACACTTTTTTGTAGCGGCTGCTATCATTTGTAGGGGACGACGCCCGAGATGCCGTTGATGCTGCCACGCATGGTGTCGCGTCCTCAGCGGCAAACGTCACTGAACTGCCTCGTGAGCGCCTCCGACCTAGTGAATGCAGCGGTCCGCTGCCTGCAGCTGCACCGGCCGTAGATACCCCAGGCTGCTTTCCTTGCCTGTGCTTCGCTGCTTCGATCTTTGCCTGTCGTTGTATCCCACAGCTGCTGGCTCCCAGGCAAGACCTCTTGACAGAGAGTGCACGCTGTCTGGAAGTACCTGAGGCCGTAGAATTGGTTGTACCTTCAGAAGCCCCACAGGCATCGACGACCGTCGGAGGTACCGGTTCCGTCTTAGTTCTAGACATCTCCAGAGTTTCAAGATGATGAACCACAGACAAGCTCTGCGCCGTTGCCCAGGCATATATTCTCTAGTATCATCGACAGGCCGCAAAGCCGTCGACTGGGGCTGCGACAAGGAAGCCTCCGGTTCTCCGTGAGGACGGCAACAGCTGTCAACGTGTTGTTTCGCCTCACTAGAAGCACGTCCTCAGGCATACCACGTCAAATGGGCAGCCTGGACCGTGGCCTTCGTGCTTTCCCGGGAGTTGGGGAAAGTCAACCCGGCGATATACTTATTGCCACGGAGCAGACGCAAACCCGCCCCGACCTACCCTACAGATTAGAGGCGAGCACGTGTACTCTGAAGCGCAGATCATCTCTAGCTTGTGGATACTGAAGAGGCACCCGCACGACCTGAACAGTTGTGGTGCCCGAGTCGACAGGCAGCTGGATCTTTGTTAAAGGCTAGTCATATCCATCATCTCATGTGAGTACTAACAGCATAACCGTAGTACGAACTGCAAAACGACTAATACAATGGAATAAATCGCAGAAGGGGGGTCAACATGCCTTGGGGCTCGTTTCGCATGCAGTAAGGTCAACCTCTGTTACAGGGCTGCGCAAGCAACCACCTCTGCTTCCCGTGCTTCAAGTGCAGTGACGATTACGAGTCTCGGAAGGCACTTCCAATTTGTTATTTATAACTGCGTCGTATATATCGAAGTCTGGTGCGGGAGGAGGAACCGCGTTCGTCGGCTGGGAGCCCTCGAAACAGGGCCATGCTTGTGGCGTAGCCGACTTGACGAACAACACCAGCGGGCGGCACACTTAACAGGAGTTGAATATTGCCACCAAGGGATTTTGTAGGCAGAAGCGGGGTATCACACTTCCGTTTACAAACAGCCCGGCTACGGCTAAGCGTCCTAAAGCCGGTCGCAGTGGCATTATCCGCACAACTTGGTGCATCTGCTTTGCCCTAGAAAGCTCAGAAATAGGAACCGCTAATAGGCATTACCACCTCAAGGGGGGGTTCAAGCTTCCTAGGCCAATCTCCACCCAGAACCACACCGGGGTGCTATTCCCCCATCGCGCACATGGGGCGCTTGCCTCAGACCCTCTTCCCAGCTTTGTGAAACGTGCATCATGATATGGTTAGAGTGTACAAAGAAACTAGCTTTAATTAAGCAAGGTGGAATTGGCGACTCGCCTGTTCCATAGCGAACCAGCACATAGACAGTCTACGTTGGATGTGCGCTGACTGTCAAAGTGACGAAAAGGCGCCCAATACTCGGCTCATTTCTGTCACTTTGACAGTCAGCGCCTAGTAGTCAGCGCCTAGTACTGCACGGCCTGTGCAAGGTGAACTATATAATTCGTCCACTTTCATCGCTGGACTTCCACGTAGCTACGCGGGAGCTTAGGGCTGAGGGTCGCTGTAGGCCAGCAACATGAGACGTTCGCGCACCCGCTGCCCAGTGCTCCCATTTCTCTCTGGACGGGGCAACAGCCTCAACAAAATCTGAGAGACCTCCGTGGAAGGCCGCAACCTGCGTATTCAAATAAGCATAAGTACATGCACCACTAAGAGAATGCCCCGCTTATACTCACAAGCACCATGATATCACAAGTGTCTAGTCTAAAGTACGTAGAGCATTCAAGCCTGCTTTGGTAGACAAACTCACCAACCGACGAACATCAGCTTGTAAAGTGACCGGAAGAATTTCCGCGAGGACGGCTCGCCTAGGGACAAAGTCATTAGAGGGTACTTCCTTCGCTTCAGCGGCCTCCGTAGAGCCGCCTGCCTGGTCAGCCCGACGAGGAGCCTCCGCTCGCAGGCTCGCGAAGGCAACAGCTGATCCCGGAAGCGCAAGGCCACCCAAGACGAGAAACTTGAAGGCGCTTATACGTGCGCTTAGAGCATCAGGCCGACGAATTTGGTATGCAATGTCAGCGTAGCGACGCTCAACCACGCGTTCGATCGACCTCGCGGAGCGCCATCCCCAAATGCACGTCAGCAACCCTGCTGCCAACGTCAGGTACTTAAGCGGGTGCGCTTTCTGCTGAATAGGCAGTAAAGCACTTCCAGCAGAATGCGATTCTTGTGGCTCTATCTCGCTGCTTGTTTGGGGTCGAAGGAGAGCAGCCACCGCAGAGAATTGCTCTGATAAGCGAGAGATAAAGGTTGTTCCTTTGATTCTATCTGCAGCACTAGTGGACCCTCCCCCACCCGCACTTTTAGCTGCAGTTAGGAAGTTCAGGGGCTCGATGAGGTGTCCAACGCCGTCATCGGGCTGCCACTCAACAGAGTCGCGTGGGGGGCACGTGGCCCCAGCCGTCGCCTTGCTGGTGAAGGATCCTGGTCCCTCCTCTAAGGCCATTGTATGGCCTGCCTAGCAGCTGCACAGTGCCTGGCCCTCGCCAGATACCATCACCCTTGCAAGCAGTTGCCGAAGGTTACTGGGACACCCCACTGAGCGCGTCTTCCAGGAGGTGTAGCTGCAACGACGATAATACCCTCCCACGAATAAGCATCATCACGCTGCTTAACTTAGCGTAGATACTCTCAAACTGCCCGGCTGGGCTCAGAGCGTGGAGAGCAAGTAGTCAAGGAACCTAAGGGGCGCGGCAAAGGGATCGTGAGGAGCCAGTGGGGAGGCAATGTAAAACGCCGCAAAAGTAGTGTATTTGAAACAAATACCAGCAATATCATATGTGAATCGTAGGCCAAAGTACAAGTAGCGCCTCATCCGTCTTTCGGAGCCCACAGATGCATGCATGCGCTCGCCAGAGTTGCAACTTATGGGTCCTGGACATATGTGCGCCGACGGTCTTCGAGGTTGTTGATGAAGCTCAGAAACGATTGTTTCACGTGGTTCAGGGAAGGTACGGTGTTCTATAGCTTACTTAAACTGATATTTCTACCTATAAACGATACTTGGGGAGCCGCTGTAACGCCATCCCCGGCGGAACGGAGCGGTGGCAGCTGACTCTTGCAAAAACGGGCGTCGAATTGCCAAAAAATGCCATTTGTGTAAAGCTGCTGGGAAGTTTGCCTTTTTATGAACCGATATATTATCATCTGGTCAATATTGCCGCAGGATCGCAGCAGCGGCGGGAGAGCTTGGGGACTCTAAACCGCGTCCTGCCTTTGTGTTCTATTTCAAGCGAAACACGCAAACAGTAAACTGCGGAATATACAAGGCCGGTTTGCAGCAACCGATGAAACCGTAGTGGCTTTGGGCCATTCCTTGGAGGACATTGTGGAGTTCACGGCGGGTGCGCATTCAACGTCGTAAACCCACCCACTCCTTTCTATTGAGGGGCATTAGAATCTGCTTATTTTTGGTGAGCTGGGGCTATGATAACCTACGGAATGTGTTGCTGTTCGATCCCGCAGCTCGCGTCTTCGGCGCCACTACCTGTAAAATATGAAGACTTCAAACGCTTTGATCCAACAACTGCTCAGGGCGGAGGAGGAAGCCGAGCAAATTGTACACAAGGCAAGAGAAAGTGAGGTATAGTTGAACGTGCTTTATAGCAAATTGTCAGTCCTGCTGCAGAATGTGAATATGCTTGTTCTCTTGGGGTGTAGTACTAGCTCTAAATCCAGTGTTGAGATAAATTACCTGGATTGGTTTGGTATTAGATTGCCTCTAGAAAGCGCATGGTCAACGCAGGATGGCTTGCATTGTTGCTGCAAGCGTCAGCTGCTTTGTGGTACTGCTCTGCAGATCGTGTTCGGATGTTAAAAGATGCCCGTGCATCCGCAGAGGAGGAGCTAAAAGCATTTCGCCAGAAGGAGGAGGAGAGGTTCAAAGTTGAAATTGAACAGGTTAGAAAGCAGGTCCATATCTTTGGGCCCTCGAGTGCAGGCCTTTCGTTCTTCTGAACTCAGTGGCGGGTTCCCCCTGCTTAAAAAAGGTGGCGGAAATAGGTACACTATGGAAAGCTGCGACATTGCCCACTTCTGCAATTTTGTTGTATGTGCCGTTGTGCACTTCCTCAGCGCCTCGGCCAGGACGATTCCCTGACAAACGAGCTCGCAGATAGGACGAAGGCGGATATAGAAATAATCAAGAAAGATTACATGGCAAACAAGGATGGAGTCCTTGCATTTATCAATGGAAAAGTGCTAGATGTGGACACTGTTATCGGCCCCAAGAAAGTCGCCATCCTGCGCAATTACGCAGAGCGCGGAGTCGACCCATGACTTGGCTGGGTTTTTGTGCTTCCCGTATTATGCATTTATTATACAAATCACGTTAACGTGTAGCCCACTGGAGTGAAGCAGTTGGGCTGCTTTTTGAGGGCCATTAGGGTGCAAACAGTCCGGTGCTAAGCTGTTTAATAGTAATGGAGCACTGCCGACGGACTGCGTCGGGACATTCTCCACGGCTATGCGCAAGAAAACAGGGGTCGTGAACTCGAGAGTGCTGCTCCATATGTTTGGATCTGCGGTGGCTTAAGGACCTTTGGGTTAGGGGAATGGCGAAGTCGCGGCTTTCCTCGAAACAGAGTGCCTACGACTCATTTATAATTCTACATTGCGTTGAGGAATCAGTTTTTTTCACATGGACAACATAGCAAACTAGTTAAACATACTTGCACTCGACTACTGCACAAGGATTATAATGGAATGTATAATTCCTACGTTGTGCAGTAGTCGAGTGCATGTATGTCCACATACATACATGGATGCACGCACGCACTTGAACACTTACTTGCAGTAGTCCCCAGGCAATGAAGCCCCTGGAAATTACATGTAGGAAAACTAGTGTAACGGGTTGCGCGTACGAAGATATCGCGTTCTAAGGGGTGCAAGACACTCTATTCGCGTTCAACATGGAGCTGAGACGGAGCTCGTCAGCCGAATGATGCTGTTATTGGTGGATAAGCACCTCGAAACCTCAGAATCCCAGCAAAGATTAACTGGCACTCCCTGAATGACTTCAGCTGTCGCCAAGACGAAAACATATGGAGGTTTCATGCATAGCTTCATCACTGATTGGGCGAGTTTCGGTTGCATCGGAGTAACCGCCACCTATACCTATTGGTTGTTTCACCTTCTTTCATTTGGATTCGCCCTCCCTAAGGAAACATCATATCAAGACGTACTTCGAGCGCGTTTACGCTTCATTAGGAAGTGGGGGGTAACAGGGAGGGATTCTTTCCTCGGATATCGTGGGGTGCTCGCAACGTGTTACGCGTTTAACCGTGTCGTGCGCGCCATAAAAGCCTTTGCTGGCACCCCCTAACCTAGTTAGAGTGTGCCACCTCAGTCAAATGGGCGCGAGTTAAAAAGAGGAAGCTTCAAGCAAGCTGAATTGAATGGCGGTGGCCCTGTGGAGATAACTCGCAGTAATTTGCTGCATTCGATCCCGGAAACTGCCACGGACTCTTTAACAGGTGGCGCACCAACGTTGAGTGAAAGCATCCCTAGAAGCATCCCTGGTCTAGTGGAGTATTCGTTCATTAGTTTTCGCCTGCTTCTGAATTGTTAGGCAAAGGGACGATAGGGCAGCAGCGCATGGCTGTGTTTTCGTGTTCCTCAGTCGTAACAGGTCTTGTAACCGTATGCTTCCAGTGAATCAGTAGCGTGCAAACCATCAAAAATGAGAGTTCCCTGCAAACAACAAGATTCTGCATGGTCTTAGAGCCATGTATGCTGTGTGTGTCTTAGTGGACCAATAGTGACTGGGGCAAACCAAAGCCCCGGACTCGGGCATTCGTTTGTTGTGATCGAAGTACGCCGTTCTAGGTTTCGAGTCGTCGGTGCCACTTAAATTGCCTTGTAAAATGTTTCAAGTGCATTTTCCATTCTCATATTTGAGTGAAGTAGGTGTGTTGTGCTTAGTAACTAGTGTGTTTGTCCCCTGGGCTGTTCAATCGGTACCTTCCGTACTGCAGTTGCGATCTTCTTGTCGTTAGTATGCTCTCCCACTCCACCGATTTGGAGCCGTAACAGATTTCCTGTATCTTGGAAGGGAACTGCCTGGCGAAGGCTCCCTAATGTCCCCGCTGCGGAGTTTCTGAACAGGATTGAGCCCAACTGGATTTCTATTGATGGAGCTTGTAAATACCAACAACAGTTCAGCTGGACAAAGCCGTACTCGGAAGAATAGGAGACATATGCCCACGCACACGGGATGCAGATTGATTTCCGACCTGGAAACAGCAGTTGCTCCCAGTCTGCAGTTTTGTATGCCGCTAGGGAGTGCAAGTGTTCCACAACTCTGCACTTCAGCTGGAGAGAGTTTCCAGCTAAATTCACCAAGATCTCCACTTCATGCTCTCTCACATCGTTCTTGGGGGGGTAGGGGATCCAGACTCACTGGCAACGTATTCGTGGACTATCGACGTTTCGCCGTTCGCCGCCTTGAGGATCTGCAGGAGCTCCAACGCTCTCGCGAGGCAAGCTCGTATATGATCTGCACCGTTCAGGAGCCACTATTTGTGAGGATTCAGACGTAGAAAATGTGTCACTAGCGTGGTCTCGAAAAACTGAGATGTCATTTTGCTCTGATTACACTTATGCCCAGTAGTCTGCAGGTCCTTTTGCGGTATGTGTAGGCCGAAGCCATCCAGTCCCTGTCGCTAAACTCTTGTCGTACTCTTTCCCGTTTTCACTCAGCGGCTGTTACTCGACTCTCTTTGGACTCCACAAGGCAAGCACATTGCTTGCAGAGACACGCACAGTATCTGCTCCTGCGGACTAGCCCTACACGCACGCGGCAAATGGCCACAAACAAGGCCGGATGCTGAATTTCTGGTCGAAGATATTATCCCCTGCCTGTGTGATGCAGACGATACTTGCTTAGTAGCAGTCGGGATGGCAGTATCGCCCTTTACGACCTGGAGGCAGATGCTGCTTTTAACTTAAACGGAGGTTTTGGCCCTGAGCCAAAGGTTCATCCCATTGGTTACGTGCAGAGAAAGCCTGATAGGTGAGCGTCGTGGAAGCGGCAAAGACTAGCCGGTGGATCTCCTCAGAGGGATTCTAAATAACGTGCGGCATACCAACGCCGGTTCTAGCCGATTTCTCGATGTCATGCTTACAGACCTCCCAAACGCAACTTGCTTCCTCTGCACTTCCAGCCGGCGGCGGAGCGGCTAGTGTTGAGGGGACAAAGATTGCTAAATGAATCAGGAAGCACTTCGGCATCAAGGGAGAAATTTGCCGGATCAAATGGGGCTCAAGCAGGCCATTCACGGTCGGTCACTAGTGTCGAATTCATGCCGGGAGACAACGGGTTGTTCGTTTCTACTGGACTCGACAAACTTCTGAAGGTACTTCTAGATGCAGTTCCCGTTGCGGTTCAGTGCATTATTTATGAGTTGCTTCTGCGAACCTTATCTTTTGAAGGTCCAGCGGAGTGGTCCCAGTTCTGCACTACACAGCTTTCCACGAACACGCCGCATTGGGCTTGACTGCATGAGACCCTAACCTCAAGGCGATCACGCTCTTGTGGTGGATCGAAGCGCGCAGTGTTTAGTGTGCATTGCTAAATGATCAGATATGGGATACACGAGCATGGGAATGCGTTCTCGACATCGCTGTTGAGAGTCCCATTCTGTGCTGTGCTTTCGACCGAGTTGGTTTCCATTCAAAGACGGCATTTGGCTCCCGGGCGCGTTCGTCTATGGGCTCAATTGAGCATTCTGTAGACTCACAGGCGAATCTGACACTTGCCACGGGCTGTCAAGATGGCAGTGTTCGCATTTTTGACATGAGGTGTGGAGTTGCCCAGCAGACGTTTGTGGGACACAAAGGTGAGTGCCGCATTTTTCTTTAGTTCCGTGCCGTGCCGGACCACTTTCTTTTGGCGAGCTTCTGGAATTGGATGCATGGTTCTTGTGTGTTCTGTTTTCGCGCTTCTTCTTCAGGCGCGGTGCTATCCCTAACGTGGGATCCAGTCACTCCATCTCAACTGTTTTCAGGCTCTTCCGACAAGTTCGTAAAACTACAAGTAGACTACTCTTCTAAGGTTCCGGACATTTATTTAGTTCAGCTTATGAAGTTGCGCTGATGTTTGCGCAGGTCGATTAGGAGGTGGGACATTCGGCGGAATGATGCTTGTTTGGGGGTGTTTGACAAGGGCAAGCCAGATCTCGATTTCTTCCGTAAGCTTTGGCTCCTAAACTACGCATTTAATTTATTCTGTGACGCCAGGAGGTTCGAATGCTTCTTCTGCCGTAGAGTGTCCCTCTTAAAAATTCAGTTCCGCAGCCCAATGCGACTTTCTCGACTGCCGTGGGAAGTACAGGCTGCCATTCTTGTGCATAGTTAGCTGAGAGCGTCTACGCGTGTATGGTTTTGTGGCTTTGATGTCTACTTTGCATGAGCGTGACGTGGATGTACCTCTGAGGCGGTTTCGCTTTACTGAGTTGAACAGGGCACGTGCGACCTCTGTGGCAGGCAATCGGTGCTCGCAGTCAGCAGCTTTTCGCCAGCTACTGTATACATACGATGTTGTGGGTGGAAGATGCTGTCCTACGCCAGCTTTGCCTTATGAAACTGCTAAGCTGCCGCGTGTTCAATTTGGTCTTCGTACTTTTAAAGATCAGGGGGCCCCGTTGGAGATAGTGACAACTGCGGCTGCCAATGCTGCATTTGCCCAAGAACCTTGGTTTTCCTTGCCGAATTCGTCCTCTGTGAGCTCAGTATCTTCCGTGGTTACTTCGGACTCTCGTAGGACCAAAGTGCCCGACCGGCAGATCTTGACTCACGCAAAGAAGCGCACTCGAAATTCGTTTGATGGGATGGTGAATCGGGGTCATGAAGCTAAGAGAACAAGGTCAGAGGGACAAACAAAGCAACAGCATCCTCTATCATCCAGCGAGCCAGCGCGACTCCGGGATTCTCTGCGTGACCACCCGTCGGACCCTCTCGCTTCAGAACATCATGAGTCAATGGACGTTATAAGAGGCGCAGTTGGCGTACGGGGGACTATAATTTCTGCGTCAATGCTGGAGAGAGGCAGCGGCAGCAGTCGCGGTGTATCCAGTTTGAGTAACATCGGGGACATGGAATGCGATGCATCCCCCAGTAGCCGCGGTGGTTCACAGAAACATATTCTGCAGATGGGCAGCGGAGGTAGGACAAAAAGACGGCTTCACGTGCCGACAGTTTCGTCACCTCTATGCCGGCTGGCAGGTTCCGAAAGTTGCATCCGTGCAAATTCAGAGAGCGTCAGCTTTCCTGCCAAGGTCCCGACTTCTCAGGGGCTCAATGAAGAAATGCCCCCGCAAAACCGACTAAATCGACGCGAAGAAAGAGGGAAGACTTGTTCGGCCGTGTGCGACCCCCTTACCTCAGAGGGAGAATCTTATGCTGGCGGGAATGGAGCACTTGGGAGTGCTAGCGAGGCGCGGCACGCGGTAGGCAAGCTGTTTGATCACTCTGATCCCGTGTGTTTTGAAGGGAACAGACACGGCTTATCAAGCGTAACTGGTATATCATGCAGGGATGGTAACTCCACGACTGAGGCCGTTGCATCCGGCCAACTGTTTTGTGGCAGTGGACGCCCACGGAAAAATGCAACTGCATTGCGAAGTGGAGATACATGGGGAGTTTTTGGAGAGCCTGAATGCCGATGCACTGGTTCAAAATTATTTTTGCGTGGAGATGGCTATTCAGGGAGTACAGTCCAGGAGCGAAGCGTGTTTTCTGATGTCAGTGCGCACGAGGGCGCAGTAACGTGTCTTGTGCCAAGCCCGGATGGCGCTTACCTTGTTTCATCCGGAAGTGATGGGCGCATAAGGTTATGGAATGCTTTGACTGGCAGCCACTGCTTTGTTCACATGATTCTGAACGTCCCCAGCGAGAGTTCTGTCCGTGCATCGGCGCGAGAACCTCGCGGAGGACGAATCGTTGGGACTCCAGCAAAGCCAGAGAAGCCGAAAACGACCACCAACATGTATGGTTCGATATGGGGGGTCCAAGCTGCCATGTCAAGGAGCGGCGAGTATCTTATCCACGGAAGGGGCCGGGTGCTTTGCACATTCGACATTATGACAGGAGCAGAGCTGCAGATAACTGCACCCGATCATAGAGATGATATTGTTTGCGTCATATGGAACGATGAGAAAAGCGAAGCATATGCTGGGGCAGTTGACGGTAGTGTCCTAATATATGATGCTACGTGTGAGTCAATGACACGTATGTTGGAACTAACTGTCTGTGCAGCGTGTTTTTCTCATTTGCGTGCTTTGCGCCTCACAGTTTATCTACTTTTTAGCGTCTGTGTTGTTCAATTGTCTTAGGCGGTTATGGAAGTGATGACTCAGAGGAAGAAGATGACAGTGAAGAGGTGGTCCCCGTGGTGGACGTTACGCCGGTGGAACCCTTGTAATTCAAAACGCTCGTCTAGTCATTCTAAGCGGTTAGTGGAGCTGTACAGCGGTTATCATAAGCAGTCAGTGGAGCTGTACAGAATGCATCCGGAAAATAAGAAACGGATACTTCTCTACTGCTGGTGTTTACCGTTGCGAATCTGGAAATCAACTGATTCGAACGGCTTGAGACCGTGTTATGCTACCTACAGTTCCTTGGGGTGATGGGTGTGTTTATGTTCGCAAGATCGTGTTGCATAACACCAGGTGAACTACTTTGCTTGAAGCACAACAGTGGTAAAGTTGCTTTGTCCTGATTAACGATAGACAGAATTGTGCATAATATCAAATATTTGACTACGACCTATCATTTCACGTATCCCTGTTACTGGGCATGATAGTAGATTCAACTGCATAAGCTTTAGAAAAAAAATATTATGTAGTTGTACATCCAGTTTGGGGAAAGATGCCACTTCGCACTGCCGTAGCTGCCGCCGAAGATAGTGTTTATGCCGCTACCTGAAAGAATTGCAACTTTAGTGGAGGGCGAAAAGCGAGTTAAAAACGGTACACACCTGTTCGGCCTCTTGAAGCAGTTGCGATACATTTCCGAGGGTTGCGCGGAACTCTTCGGTATCAGGCGCATGTCCGCGAAGCTCGTCGATTTTAGTGTGCACAGCAGCAATCTTGTCTATTTTTCTCTTGACTTGTTCGCGCTGGCTCCGAGTTTGAAGAAGGCGAGCTCCGGCACCATGGAAGCTGATTGAAAGTTCATCAGACATGTGGGTTTTTAAGTGAGCCGAATAGGACCTTACAGGGACTCGACGGTTTCAAGTAGGGACAAGCTGCGCTTGCTCACGCTATCCTCGCGATCATTCCACATGGATTTCCCCTGTGGTACATTCCCAAATAAGCTGCTATTTTCAGCTCTTCGTTGCGTCTTCCTTACATTAGAAATGCATTTCTTCCAGAATTTATCTTGATTTTCAATGCCAAGCAGGTTCCTGTGATGCGATGTTTTATAACAGATCGAAAGAAATGCAGAAGATCCGCTTTGAGACGGCTTACCCCATAGTCTTCATTGCCAGTGACATATCCACTGCAGCTTCCTGGCGGAGATCGCGAGCTCGTTGGAAGTCGCCGGACTGTTCTGGTACCGAAACGCTTTTGCTAGGTCTCACAGCTTTATACTGTTTCTTTACTTGCCTGCTCTGGTGGCTGATTCCTACGGAAAATAACGATCGAAGTGGAGTTCGATATTCGCAAAGATAATTTCACTTACAATCTGATGGAGTGCCCGTGGTAATAGCACTTCAGGATTAACGTATTCTGCGTGAGTTCCGGCTTCCTTTGCAACTTTCATCGCTCCCTGCCAAACCAGGTACGTGTTTCGGGGATCTGGAACAGACATTGGTAGGTAAGCGGAATGTGTAGAGACGCATCAAATGCCATACCCGCTGTACTCTCGAGAAACGAGCGTTGTTCTTCCGTGAGCAGCCTCTCAGGGTCTTTGGAAAGTTGAGGCACTGGGTTGAGAAGCTCCAGAAATGTACCAACATATCCTGCACGCATTTTGTTCCAAACCATAGACGCCTTTTTTAGTACAAACGGATCTCACTTCCTAGACGAGACGTATGGTGATGAAGCCGTTTCGCGGTGTGTTCGTGCTCCATTGACACGGCCGAAACGTGGCTGGCCACGAGTGGGAGGAGTAATATGCTTGCTGCCTTCACCATTTTCTGTAGGTGTGTAAGGCAACGAACAAGAACCAAGTCTATATAATATTTAATGAGGCACAGAAGAGGCCTATGGAATACCCCGTAGGAGAAAAATGCACGTGACTAACTACCCTGCCAACGCTTTGCGTGGCGTTCAGGTGTAAGTACACAGACCTGTGCTTCCTCGACTTAGCTGTTCACTTTCAAGAAACTTGCGAAAATGTGGTCGGCGTAGCAAGCAAACAGCCTCATTCAAAGGATTTTTGAATAAATACGTACATGGCGACGCCACGAGTTCGGCAGAGTTGCTTTTACGTGACCCGCCGAAAATATTGCACGGCGCATGAAACCCTGACAACTATGCGCCAAAAGGCTAACTTTATTATAAAAAAGTACTATAAAATTCCTTCATATGGACTATGCTGACTTGAGTAACGGAAATGAAACAGATTCAGCTGAATCCATGCGCGCGCCATATATATTAATTATTGGAACCGCCTCAGGCTGAATTTTATGACCCCAGGCTGGTTCAAGAAGTCAAATATTAGCCAAGCTTGTTCTGAGGTTAGATAACCATAACGTAAAATAACACTAGCACTCTGCTCGCTAGTCTCGTGCTCTGGCTACTGCTAACCCTCCCTGACAAGCTAAATCAATCTAATTACGTGCCTTTCCATAATTCTAAAGCGGCCCTGCAAGCTGGTGAACCTGGCAACCTGTTACTCCGCTTCTCCCTAAGTGCAATGCAGTGCCTACAAACAAGGGTGTTAACCGCCCCAGGAAATTAATGATTCAGCCTGGTTCGAAGCTAGGAAACTTCCAGAAGAAACGGAAATCTGTGACTGGGACCCCTCATTGCCCTAGACCCTGTCAAAAGGTCTACGGTCTCAAGCGGCCACAAGAGCATCCTTTGTGCCAGAGAGGAAGTCAGACCATTCCTGGAATGGCGACTTTGTATACAATCTAGGCTTCCAGAGGTCGGGAGTCAAGTACCCGTATGTTTGTTTCAAAGCGTCGAAGAGAGCCTGAACTCAACAGGACAGCAAATAATTTCAACTTGTCCCCAACAAGAAACCCACTACAGTTTTGAAGGTAGCTACGTCAATCAACCGAGTGGCCTGCTGTTGCTTCCATCGCGCGTACCTTCATGAAGTTACCCCTAGTCTTAGTTGAGCCATTCGAATTCGAGAAGCAATCCTTAATGCCCGCAAACGCTAGAATCTTCTTTGTCGTGGGGGCGCCTACAATGTGTGTACCGCGTGGAGCGGGAATGAGGCGAACGCGCACAGAGCCGCACTTCCCAGACACCTTCATGGGGACCGTATGGGGGTCACCAATCTTGTTGCCCCAGTAGCCACGCCTGTGCAACGACAAACCCGCATGTAGATGTGCTTCAGCCTCGAACCAAAAACTTGTCCATCTTGCCCAACTCACGGAGTCCAAGAAAGACTTGCGTACCTGACAGGAATGAGGCTCAGCTTGGCAGCAATGATAGCACCGCGGATCGCACTAGCCACCTCCTTAGCACACTTCACTCCCAAACCACAGTGTCCGTTACTGTCACCAATGGCGACAAAAGCCTTGAAACGTGTCCTCTGTCCAGCGCGGGTCTGCTTCTGGACCGGCATGATCTTCATCACTTCATCCTTGAGGGGGCGGGAAGTGGCTTCAGGAAGGAAGAAATGATCGATAATCTGCACATCCGATAGCCAACGAAGGAAGAGACATGCAGTTTACATAATCGTGCCACATTCTAGTTCAGCACCATCAAGAACGAGGAACAAGGGAGGTTGTCATCATTGACGTACGCAGCCCACGTTTTGCACTTATTGTTTGGAGGTGCCGAGAAAAACAAAAGCACACTCCTCCCCAATATGTATCGGACACAAGCGCGCATCAGATAGCAATTGGACGAATTATTCCGTCAGTTTTCCGGAAGGGGAATACGTTTGTCATCATCCGCGCGCATGAGGACCGAAGAACACAAATGACTAACACAAGATCTACTTCGCCAATGCAAGTAAAGCGCACGCACCTGGAATTCCTTGACAGGAAGAGAATGAAGGTACACTTCCTCAATCGATGTGATCTTCCCCGCACGCACAAGACGACCAAGCTTGGTAATTGGTACCCAGTCCTTCAGGTCATCTTCAGCTGAACCACGCCCTCGACCACGTCCACGTCCCCTGCCTCTCCCCCTCGGACCACCGCGTCCAAAGCCACGGCCAAAACCGCCACGCTCTGAACCAAACAATACCGAAAACAAGTGCGCAAGCAATATATTGCAGGTAGGTGGACTCCCCACACGACCTTCACCACCACGCCCGGTGTACGATGAGCAAATAGTAGTGATAGATGGAACGTCATCCCAAAATGAGGACAATGCATACACGAAATGTACTTTGAAGAAACGAACCCTCCCCTTTCTGCGCAAAATGCGCAGGAAAGAACCAAGACTCAACCGTTGCCAAGCAGCCCAGTCATCGCAGCACACCGGTTCGGCTGTGAAGCGCACAGCTCGCTAAGTCTTCCGGAGGCCAACAGCATTCACTAAATGAATAAACAGATTTAACCAACAACTGCTTGCCCTTGAGTGTGAAATGTGCAGAAACAAGCCACTCTATCGAAAACCTCATGCATCCCCACAGCGCATCACGGGAGAGAGTTTGTGCGTCTGGCTACAATTGTAGAACGCTACAACAGCTGATGACTAACCTGCCATTTTCGGAGGATAGCACGACGCCTTCGTAAGAGATCCCCAAAAACGAGCAGCAAACTTTTGGGTTAGCAGTGCAGCCACCGTTTGCCGTCTGGAAGCCGCGGTGGAGTGGGGCGGCCTGGGGCAGCGGCCGCCAGCAGCTTCTGTTCTCACTGTTAGTCGTGTTTTCAAACAGCGCGCAGAGCGACGTCTTGCACAACCAAAATAGAAAATTACTATTATAGTTTTTGCGACTGGTTTATTCTGATAGGTACGCGCGTTCCTGGCTTAGCACATCTATGCATACAACATGTGTCGGCCACCGATGAATGAGGCATGCGGTCTTGCATGCTGTTTCGTGTTAGCTCCCACCGCAAACAAGTAAAATGGGACATTACGCACCACGTCCTGGCGGCATAGTGGCAGTCAGTTTGCAGCATTTGAGGTTAAATGGACGTAAATTCGCTTCCCAAGCCTTCCAGCGAGCCCTGGGTGATGGCGGGTAGTAGCACAGCTTTTGCATCTTATGTCGACTTGGCGCACGTACTTCTACCTGACTGCAGGCTGGCTAGTGATGGCCTATTGAATGCTTAAAAGTTGTCTA